GTTTTATTTCTTAGATAAGAAGTAAAAGATCTTCATATACTCAGCAGTCACATTGGATGGTTACAAGAAAGGGTATAGTTTTTCTTTCCTTTGGAAAAAACAAAGACAACTTCAAAGACACTGGTAATGATGGTGATTGACCTCAATGGCAGAAACGTCGGCTAGAGGAGAAAAGACGATCTGCCTTTATTTTACTTCCTATTTGACCTCTATCTCCTACTTCTATCCCTCTTTTTCAATCTTCTGTAAAATAAATTGTCCTGAAAACAAACGAACTCAAGAACTTGTATTTTTTTAAAAAACTCATTTCAGCATTGAAAAAGAGAGTGACTGGGGCATCTGGGTGGCTCAGTTGGTTAAGCATCTGACTCTTGATTTCAGCTCTGTTCATGATCTCAGGGTCCTGGGATCGAGCCCCACATCAGGCTCCACACTCAGTGGGGAATCTGCTTGGGATTCTCTCTCTCCCTCTTCCTCTGCCCCTACCCCCACTCATTTTATCTCTCTGTGTCACTCAAATAAATAAAATCTTTTTTTGTTGTTTTTTAAAGAGTGACCACAAATTAACCTTCTAGGTAGGTGGAAATAGTCTACATTTGATTGGAGAGCTTGATACTAGGTGTATACATTTCTCAAAAGTCATTAATCTGTATATTTAAAATGAATGAATTTCATTGTACATGATGTATACCTCAATAAAGTTGATTTTTAAAAAAAAATTATTTGAGAGAAAGAAAGAGAGAGAAATTGGGTGTGGGGAGGAGGTGATGCAGAGGGAAAAGGAGAGAGGGAATCCCAAGCAGACTCCTCAATGAGTGCAGAGCCTGACACAGGGCTCAATCCCAGGACCCTGAGATCATGACCAGAGCTGAAATTGAGAGTCAGACGCTTAACCACCTGAGCCAGCCAGGTGCCCCTCAATAAAGTTGATTTTAACAACCTCAATCAACTCTAAAGAGTAGAAACTTCCGTGCACTAGGATAGTATATGAAAGTCTTCTTTTACAGCTAGTTTCAAAAGAAACCCCAAATTAGAAACTGTTCATCTTCTTAGTCCACCCTGCTGGGAAATGTTCCTAGAAATCTACTCACATCTATTCCTGGGAAGCAGGTGGGTCTTCCCGCCTCTATTTAAATTTCCATCCATCCCACACACCCTCTTGCTTGCTTCCACAGCACTTAACCCCTTCTAATATGTTAACTAGGTCATCATGATTATTTATGACCTGTCTCTTGCAACTAGAATGTTAAGTTCCATGCGGGCAGGGTTTGGTCTGTTTTGTTCACTGATGTTCCTGATATAGAGTTGGTGTTTAATAAATATTTGTTGAATGAATTCAGGCTTTCTTATTAAATATATTTCTTATGTTCTGAAGAATGTCAGAACATTAACTATATGGTCTTTAATATTCTATACTCTATCAACTTGCAAAAATTACTGGAGATGATTTGCCATTTATTTTCTCTCCACTGTATATTGAGTCACTTCGATGTGTCCACATCGTACCAGGCATTGGGGAAATATGGCTGTCGGATAAGAGTTAACATAGAAAATCTTAAACCATAATCAGAAAGGGAAAATATCTATACTAAAAATCCAAGCTACTCTGTCACTCCGGTCTAACACTGCATTTAGTTTTGAAGATATTTCACAAAGATCTTTTAAGTTCAAAGTCATAAAGGACCACAATGGTTTAAAAAAATTAGATAATCTACACTACATATTTTTAACTATCACCTATTTACAAAACTGATTGTGTTTTAGGAAACAAGATCTTTTTTTAAACTAAGCAAATCATGAATTAAATTTTAAGTGACCTACATATATATCATGATTATGATGTATGAAGTGCTTTTCTGGTACAATTTTAATAAATGCTTTTATACTAAGATAAAGTTCTTTGATTTTATAGAATCATAGTTCTTTTTTTTTTAGTTAGAAAAATGTCTTGCAATAATTTCTACATCTAATATTTGGCAGGTGAAAATACTAATGCTCTAAAAGGTTAAATGGCTTGCCTAAGATTATTTAGTTAGTGTCAAAGTTCAGACCAGATCTGGGTTCCTTATTCCTGAACCATCCTTGAATCAACCCACCCTTCTTAATTGTACCTCATAAAGGCCAGCAGCCATTTGGATTGACAACAATAAGAAGGGTACTGTCTCCTTGAAGGCAGAAACTGGAGCTTTGTAATAAACCAACACCCCCACCCCCCACCCCAATGCCTAGCACAGAGTCTGGTCCAGAGTAGGAACCCAGTGAAGGGAGACAAATAACAACCCTTGTCCCAGACATGGACTCTTACTAAAGAACTCTTGGTGACTTGGGCCCTATGTGACTAGAACTCCAGCCTTCTCCTGTTGGTGCCCTCTGCTCAGGCCTCACTGGCCTCTTGGTTAATTCTCACATACACCAAGCATGTGCTTGGGAAGTTCTGTCTACAGTATACATCTGGCTCCAGCCCTATACGTCTCTGCTCAGTGTCACTTTATCAATGAGGTGCTCTTAGAGCACACTATGAAATGGCGCCTGATAAAATGTTCAACTTTTCATGTTTGTGGGCCCTGCTCCTGGGCTCCCAGGGAAGCTATACTTTAACATTACCAAGGTGAAAATGACTCGGCAAAACCTCAAAGCATGGGCTTTTTTCTGCCCCACACCACACACTGTACTTCTGTTTTGTTAAAAATATAACCATAAAGGAGCATTTCAAACCTAAAGATAAGAAAAAGAAAAAAGACTTCCTGGTTCCTGTGAGATTAAAGTCATACAGCCTTGCACATACTAAAAACATAACATAAAGCCTGTAACTTTCTGGAATGTCCTTCATCATGATGATTTGCAACTCTTTATGTGAAAAAAAAAAAAATCCATATATAACTCTGTACCAAGTGTTCTTTTCCTGGAGCACTCTCTTCTTTGTGAAGATGGTGCATCCCAGGCAGATGTCTTAACTTGAGCTCGAATAAAATTCTTTTCCTTTCTCTTTCTAATTTTAAAAAAGACTTGTTCATTTTGCGTTGACATACCCCACACTCCCTAATTTCCTTACCCTGTCTCCATAACACTTATCATTGTCAGACATATTTGAACTTGTCCCTTTGTGCATTGTTCATCTTCCTCTACAAAAATGTAAACTTCATGAGGATAGGGACTTTATCTGGTTCATGGCAATATTTTCAACACCTTTGCATGGCATGTGACAAGTACTTTATGAATATATGTGAAATGTCTGAGTGAATGTTAAAGGAAATCTGGACAACTTCATCTTTAAATTCTCTATTTTAAAAACTAAGAAACTTTTTAATTCAGTATAAAAAATATTGAGAAGTAAAACTTCAAGACACTTCAAAATGCAGAGAATTGTATAAGAAAATTCAGTGCACATAATCTCATACATATATGTGGTTTTATTTTTTTTATTTTTTAAAGATTTTATTTATTTATTTGAGAGAGAGAGAGAATGAGAGACAGAGAGCATGAGAGGGAGGAGGGTCAGAGGGAGAAGCAGACTCGCTGCCGAGCAGGGAGCCCGATGCGGGACTCGATCCCGGGACTCCAGGATCATGACCTGAGCCGAAGGCAGTCGTTTAACCAACTGAGCCACCCAGGCACCCTATATGTGGTTTTAAATAGTTTTTTTTTTTAAGTTTATTTATTGTTCTTAGTAATCTCTAGACCCAACGTGAGGCTTGAACTCAGGACCTTGAGACCAAGAGTCACATCCTCCTCTGACTGAGCCAGCCAGGAGCCCCTAAACTGTTCTATACAGTTCTAATTAACACATGTTAATTAAGGACTTCAAATAGAAAAGAAAAAGGAACTTAGTTCTTAGGGTCCGACATACAAATATAAACATAAAACTCCAATGGAAATCCTATATTAGTAACTAAAATATTTCCTTGCCATAAGAACTCATGCTTCGATGGAGTAAGGATTAAAACAAAAAAAATTAAAATTGCTTTCCGTTTAGCTACAAAACTTAAAGCATTTACCTTTCCACTTAATACGGCTTCGTTCTCTATTAAACTACTTAATTCTACAGGCAATCTTAAATCTCTCTGGGTCAATAAATAATTTAAATTCCAGGTGTGATCAAAAGCAATCTTTAGCGGCACTTGATACTATTTTATTAAAATCCATAATTACATTAAGTAGTGTAGGATTTATTATTTCCAATCAGTTTAGACAGGAAAAGTTATTCGCCGTAGGTGTGTGTAATGTGACTGCTAACAGTATTACAAGCCGGGTTGTGTCCGTCACACCGGGCCCTTCCGGAGTCCTTCCGTCTGAGCACTCATTTGGGCAGCACTGAGAGGCCTGAGAGTGCGCTCCTTTGATCCGATAAATTCTATGTTAGAGATGACGACAGAGAGCAACCGAAACACAGCGGGGGAAACAACTCTCCGTGGGCCAGAGGGTCAGCTCTCCCGAGAACACACTTGAACCTCGAAAGCCGCTCCAGACAGAGGATCAGCAGACGCAGAGGCAGAGCGGCGAAATGTGAATTGCGTTAACTTGAAACGGCCGAATGCGAAACGAAGGGCGGGAGTGGAGAAAGGGTCAGAAGCTGAGGAAGGGTGAGGGTGAGGCAGGGTGAAGGCCTGACGGGCCACACGCCACGGCTGGGCTTGACCCTGAGCGATTACGCAGACGTAGGATTTGTGTGGGTCTGTAAGAATTTGAGAAGATTTGCGGGACAACTGCGCGAATGGTCTGGGGGCGTTGGGGTGCACGTGTTGCGGGGGGAACAAGAGGGGGACGGGGAGACGGGTTACGGGGCTGAAAAAAAAAGGGAGAGGCCTTGAGTGACGGAGAGTACAGGCGCAGCCCCGAATCCAGGGTCGATCGGGGCAGGGCTGGCCGGGTTCGACGTACGCAGCCCCCTCAGTCAGGGCTCCGGGTGGAGGCGGCCCGGGTGGGGGAGGGGGCGACGGCGCTCGGTTGCCCCGGCGACGGCGCCTGGGGGGCGGAGTCGGGGGCGGGAGGTGCCCAACGGTCGCCCGCGCGGCTTGCGTGGAGCCGGCGGAGGCCAGAGCCCGAGCGCCGCGAGGGGCGGGCGCGGAGGTGGGGCGGCAGAGCGCCCCGCGCCGCCGCCCTCGCCGCCGCCGCCGCCGACGAGGAGGAGCCGCCGCCGCCACCGCAGCCGCCGGGTCGACGCAGGTGCGGCCGCCGCGCCGCCGGCGCCCCCCGCGAGGATGCGGCCGGTCTCTTAAGATGAGGTGTTGGTTGCAGGTAGGGGGGCGGAGCACGGGGCGGGGACGGGCGAGGGGTGGGTCGTGCTCCAGAGGACCCGGAGCAGCGCATCTTCATTTCTGGAACCTTCCAGGCCTTGTGTTTGTTTCGCACATGGCAGATGCCCAATAAATTGTTTCTTGAACGGAAGGGACTGCTGTTGTTTTCGGGGATCGCAAGACCTCCGGGGACATTGGCTGTAACTCTGGGACCAGAGGGCCTTGTGCAAAAAGTATTCCACCCTTGGGGGTAATAACCGTGGATCCTGTCCCAACATTACCCGCTAACTCTTGTTCCTACTCCGCTTCCCATAGACAGGGGGAATGGGTTGGAGAAGACGTGGAGATAAAGAGGAATGTCTAGCCTTGGACGGGGACCAACCTGGCATCCACAGTGGGATTGTAATAAATGTTGTGTAAGGGCTCTGTCAGCTGGAGCCCTCCCTGTAAGTGACATTAAGAATTTGGCTCTGCCCCATTATCAGCATCGGTCAGAAACGCTGAGTTTGCAAATGAGTCCAGCCTTTTCCACAAAACTCTGTCCCAGATCAGCACTCAAGCTGTTCCAGGATTTGTTCCTGCATCTTGGTGTACCTTAAGGTCAAGGGAAAGTAGAAGAAAAATGAGGTCTGCCACTATTTCTCAGGGTTTTTTGACTTGGCAACCACTTCTTGCTTTCTCTATCAGCTGATGATTCAGGAAAGAAAGGGCCAGTGCCCACCATGCATCGCAGAGACTAGCTAGGCAGGACTGTTTCTGTGTGTAAAGTAATGGGGTGGGGGTCCTGGTCCCTGGTCCTCCCACCTCCTACCACACTTACTGTTTTTAATCTTACACAGTTATCTATTTGTGTTGTGGGTAAAAGGTTTTTTATGCCATAGAGATATTATTATACTCCAAATAAATTGAGGGCAGAAATGGACAATTTATTTGGTATGTGCAAAGTCTTTACTATTGTGTTTTACAAAGAAGACTCGGTGTTGTCTAGTATGTTAGAATCATGCACTTTAAAACTGCACAATTTATTAAATCGGGCCTCTGTGAACCACATATTCCCAAACCAGGTGACCCCGATCATATGGTATAGTAGGTTGGGTAAGAGCCACTCAAAAATACCAGGTCCTAATCCCAGGAACCTGTAAACGCTCTAAGGAGAAAAGGGTCTTTACATATAATGAAGTCATATAATGAAGTCAAAGATCTTGAAATGGGGAAATTATCCTGGATTATCTGGGTGCGCTTTAAATGCAAACACAAGTGTCCTCACAAGAGAAGCACAGGGGAGATTTGATACAGACAGAAGAGGAGACTAGAGTACCACCACAAAGTTAGAGATCAGAGTGGTGAGACCATAAGTCAATTTGTAATGCCAGCATCCAACAGAAGCTCAAAGAGGCAAGGAATAGATTCTTTCCTAGAGCCTCCGGGGAGAGCACAGCCCTGCCAACAACCCTTAATTTCAGTCCTGTGAGACTGCTTTTGGACTTCTGGCCTCCAGAACTGTGAGAGAACAAATGGCTATTATTATAGCCACCAAGCTTGTGGCAGTTTGTTACAGCAACTACAGGAAACTAATCTATATGTTAATTGTTATAAATCACATAAAACCAATCCTGTATTGATGGGTATTTTAAAGCTCTGCAGCTGGGGTAATGACAGGTGTAGTAGTGGAGACTACCAAATATTTTCCGGAACCCTGTAACTCTCAAGGAAAAGGCTTGAATAAGGAATTTGGCTAGAAGTGAAAATAAATTAGGTGCATAGGAAAGAACTAGTCTAACACTTAAAGCAATTTTTGGACTCTCATTTGTATTCCTATTAATATATCACTGTATTTGCTCTGGTTAAGAGAATAAAGGTAACTTAAGCTTGGTTCTTAGCTAATACATTATTGGATATCCATCTTATGTATATTAAATTACAGTTGCAGACACCTGGGGATTGAGGCCCAAGCCTAGGGAAAGTAGGCAATACAGACGTGCTTCCATAGGTGGGGATGTTAAAATCTGGCTAAAAGCAACTTCTGGTCATCTTGAAATTAACACACTTTGAAGTTTTCATGGTGTAGGAAAAAACCAGTGTTGAGGTTTAATTGATTGACTTCCAGGACCCAGGCAGCTAATATGCACCCCCACTCTTAATCCACAAAACATAACGACAGTGAACATACAACGAGTAGCCAATCTGCTTTCTTTCTGAACTGCTTTTCTGAAGTGTAATTTATATACCCTAGCATTCACTAATTGTAATTGTAATAGCATTCTCAAACCCGGCACCAACCCACTTTTGACCACTGGCGCACTCTATAGAGTTAGGTTTTAGTCCTTCTGCTGGGCTACTCCAATGGCCTCCTAACGGGCCTCTACTTCCACTCAGTGTATTTTTCACTCGACTGCTGGATGATCATATGCCCCTGATTAAAATCCTCCAGTGGCTTTCCACTGCAATTAAAATAAACCCCAGTGTCCTTTTCAAGACACCGTGAGCTCTGCCCCCCACCAAACTCACCAACACCTTCTCGGGATAATTTAGGAAAGAAACTGATAATAAGTGCTCCTTCGGGCACGATACACAATTGGCTGTCCATAAGCAGGCCTCTCACCCCCCTTGTCTACATGGTAGCCTCACTGCTTCCTTTCTGTCAGTCAGCAAACACTAAGCCCTTTTCATCTCAAGGCCTTTGCATGTGGTATTTCCTCTTAGGAGCTTCCCCAGTCCCCTGTGGGGGTGACTCCTTTTTGACATTCAGCTCAAATACCACCTCCTCAGAAAGGCCTTCCCTGACCTACCTTAACTAAAATAGCCTCAACTCTGTATACCACTCCCTGTGCTATTTTCCTCATTGCACTGAATCCCTCTCCAAAATTATATTTTTGATTTGTTTCTTTAGTGTCTCTCTTTCCCCACTCTAATATAAGATCTGTGAGGGAAGAAATTTGATTGGTCTTGATCTCAGCTTCATCTCTAGTATTTACAAAAGCACTATTCATAGCAGCAGTACATTTTTAAGCTATCAGAATGCCAGCAATGGTAAGTAATAATTATTGAGTGCTTCCTATGCGCCAGGCCCTGTGCTGAGTGCTTTGTATGCATGAATAATTTAAGTGAAGCTTATTACTTTACTATAGTAAATTATTGTTTTCAGAGGCATTAGGCAGTTTTCTTTACCTTATTATTGAACACTGATTTTAGGGACTGGATCAATGTACATTGCTACCAGCAATATAGTTTTGAACTTCCTCTCCCACAACCTTAAAAACTGAAGTGGAGGTTTTTGCTAAGAAGGAGAGAAAGAGCTAAGAGAGGATTGAACAGAGAATTGTGAACATATACAAATGATATAGGTAGACTCTAGTGGGGGCACATTATGTGTCAGGGGAAAGGCAGGAGATGAAGCTGGGTGGTTGGTTAGGCCAGATCCTAAAGGGCTTTGGGTGCTGGTTTTAGTTCAGACTTTAGTCTTTGAGTAAGATATGGTAAAAGGATCTGATTTTAAAGGAAATTCTTAAAGATTGTAAGAAAGTGACACTAGAAAGATCCCTTTGAAGTATTTTGTAGTAGGTCTGGCAAGAGCTGATTAAAGCATGAAAGAATATAAGAGTAAAATTAACTAAATTTCATATTTGAGCACTCCTTCCTTGTGACTGAAGGACCACACTTAAGTTGTCTTTGCTGAGTTAAAAGGTATTACAGAGATAGATTCAACAGAATGTGGTAACTGATTGGATGTGGAGTTTGAATAGATGAAGAATAAAGACATGAAAATGTCTTAACTTGGGAAGTTGGGTTTATGGTGTCTTGATCTGACAACACCCTTGAAAGCAGATTTGGTGGGAATATGAAGAGACAGATGTGGGATAAGATGAATTTAAGATGACCGTAAAAATATATGCAGAGGTGGTAAGGAACAGATATTCATTAAAATTTATCCAGAGCCCCCATTTTTTTTTTTTTTTTTTTACAAAGTTGCATGAAACGTGCTGACAGGATTGCCCCCATCTGGCTCTGCTGTTGACTAAAATTACTTGTGAGAAATCATTATATTTTTGGTCCTTTTTCTGCTGAATCTTTTGCATAGGAATGCATAGAATGTCCAAGTTGGAGAAGATTTTAGAGATCTTCTAATCCAACACTCTGCCCTTGAGAGGGCACCCAGTGTCAGTTGTCATCCCAACAAATACTCATCCCCTCTCAGCTTGAACACGCACAAGGAAGTTCTCCACATACACATTCAAGGTACTGTAGCTTTTAGAAAGTCCATCTCCACCCTGTACTAGAACCTATCTCCCTATGTTCATTAGTCCTAATTCTGCACAGAGGATATTGTCATTTATTTTTCTAACATAGCAACTGTTCACTTAGTTTCCCCTGAGATATGCCAAAAATCCTGGTTGGTTGTCATCTCAGCTCCACTGCTTAAAATTTATAGACCTATTACTGACTCACCAGATAGGAATTCTGCCTAGCAACTTTTCTAATCAAACGCAAGAGCTGTTGCCTGATTAAAGCATCTCCAAGCACTGAAAAGCAATTTAAATGGTCAGAAGATATTCAGGTGGTCAATTTTAGTCAGTTCGGACTATACCTAGAAAGGTCTGGTCTGGCAAGGTCTGGGCAGGGGTTTTACTTGGTGTGTTATCTTGAATGCCAGTGAGATCTGTACCATCAAAATTAGCATTGGACCAATAGGGAGCATGTACTTGCACGGGTTCTGTTGTACAAGCATAGCCTAGGTAAGTGCCATAGGCTATTAATTCAAATATACTTTCATATACAAAATAAGCCCAAAGGAAAAAGAACTTAAAGGCTTTTGTGGTGGTGGTGGTTATATATGTGTATATGTATGTGTTAGGTATTGTCAGGATCTCAGGTGATGAAAATGAACTTGTGAATTGAACTTTAAAAAAATAATACATTTTAGATAATGAAGTATGGTTATATGTTAATACACAGATTTTGAAATATTTTCTTTTGCAGGTGTTAATAGGATAAGTGAAAATAAGAATACCCATATATTAAGGTATCTCTTGTTTTACTTTGAATTATATTTAAGAATTGTGAACGTATACAAATGATATACTAATTTATTATATCTATGTCTATATCTAATTTATTTTGGAGCCTGAAGCCTTGAGCTTGATGAATGCCTTGGCTGGAATATCTAAGATAATAAAGCTACAAGGGCTTTCTCTCTGTGGTTTTCAAACTCTTTTCAGCACTTTTTCATGTGTCTGTTGGCCATTTGGATGTCTTCTTTGGAAAAATGTCTGTTCATGGCTTCTGCCCATTTCTTGATTGGATCATTTGTTCTTTGGGTGTTGAGTTTGATAAGTTCTTTATAGATTTTGGATACTAGCCCTTTATCTGATAGGTCATTTGCAAATATCTTCTCCCATTCTGTTGGTTGTCTTTTGGTTTTGTTGACTGTTTCCTTTGCTGTGCAAAAGCTTTTTATCTTGATGAAGTCCCAATAGTTTATTTTTGCCCTTGCTTCCCTTGCCTTTGGCGATGTTTCTAGGAAGAAGTTGCTGCAGCTGAGGTCGAAGAGGTTGCTGCCTGTGTTCTCCTTTAGGATTTTGATGGAATCCTGTTTCACATTGAGGTCTTTCACCCATTTGGAGTCTATTTTTGTGTGTGGTGTAAGGAAATGGTCCAGTTTCATTCTTCTTCATGTGGCTGTCCCATTTTCCCAACACCATTTGTTGAAGAGACTGTCTTTTTCCCATTGGATATTCTTTCCTGCTTTGTCGAAGATTAGTTGACCATAGAGTTGAGGGTCCACTTCTGGGCTCTCTATTCTGTTCCACTGATCTATGTGTCTGTTTTCGTGCCGGTACCATACTGTCTTGATGATGACAGCTTTGTAATAGAGCTGGAAGTCCAGAATTGTGATGCCGCCAGCTTTGCTTTTCTTTTTCAACATTCCTCTGGCTATGCGGGGTCTTTTCTGGTTCCGTACAAATTTTAGGATTATTTGTTCCATTTCTTTGAAAAAAGTGGATGGTATTTTGATGGGGATTGCATTGAATGTGTAGATTGCTCTAGGTAGCATTGACATCTTCACAATATTTGTTCTTCCAATCCATGAGCATGGAACGTTTTTCCATTTCTTTGTGTCTTCTTGAGTATTTTATAGTTTTCTGAGTACAGATCCTTTGCCTCTTTGGTTAGATTTATTCCTAGGTATCTTATGGTTTTGGGTGCAATTGTAAATGGGATCAACTCCTTAATTTCTCTTTCTTCTGTCTTGTTGTTGGTGTATAGGAATGTCACTGACTTCTGTGCATTGATTTTATATCCTGCCACTTTACTGAATTCCTGTATGAGTTCTAGCAGTTTTGGGGTGGAGTCTTTGGGGTTTTTCCACATAAAGTATCATATCATCTGCAAAGAGTGAGAAGCCATGTTCTGCATGGAGCACTGGGTGTTATGCACAAACAATGAATCATGGAACACTACATCTAAAACCAATGATGTAATGTATGGGGATTAACATAACAATAAAAAATTTTTTTAAAAAAATAAGAAGGAAAAAAAAAAAAAAACTCTTTTCAGCAGAGCATCTGCATTCCATAAAGGTGTCTCTGGGGCAGAGAGGAGGGTGTGTAGTTGGGGCTCTGATAATTTAAAGAAAGGCTTCCTCTGCTTCAAAAAAGTTTGGAAAACAACTGTATTCTCATTTAGTAATGGTGGAAATTGAGGCTTAGAGATATGAGAAGATTTGCCCCTGCTCTCACAGGTAACCAGTGACAGAATTAAGTTTCCCAATTTTAAATCCTGTCCTTCTTTCATACTGCCTCTTTACAAGACAGTATTATGTACTGGTGAGGTATATCTTAAATAGTTTACTTCTGTATTAGATGATAATAGTACCTGTGTTTACTCAAAGCAGTTTAAACCCACTTTCTTTGATGTTAGTGGACCTGTATGAAACTTAGTATCTTCTTTCTAGATGAATAGGAAGATATAGCCATTTATTATGGGAAAGTGAGTTAGTATACACTGCCTAAATTATAAAGACAGTATTGTTCACGTTTTACTATCCTGTTATGTGATACTATATGCATACGGATTGAGGCAAGTACTATATAGTAAGGCTGCACATGAGTTATCTTTTCCTGTTCTTTTCAGGTGCACACTCTTTATTTCCATCTTATATTCTTATAGGTTAAATACTGTTCTTACAGTCACAAAGCCAATAGATCACAGAGCTAGGATTTGAACCCTGATAGTCAAGGAACAACATCTAGAGAGAAAGAATGTGATTGAGAGAGCAGACATTAAGAGCCATGTGAAGTTAATTGAGCACTTCACAGTAACTAGAGCAGGGAAGGCAGTATTCAGCATCAACTGTACTCCTCATTGCATTTCTGAGATTGCACCAGCTTACGTATGTTGTATTCAGGTCAATGTGGGGGTGCCTTAGAACTTCCTAAGGAAAACATATCTTCAGACTTGTTCTTTCAGAGTATGGACCAATTTTATAAAATCCCCAGTCTCAGGCTTCTGTGGAAAGTAGGATGGTTCAGCAGCTTAGGGGCTTGAGTCATTAGTTGAGAAATCTAGGAATCCTCCACAAAAGTCTTTTTGTGGTCTGTGGTTTCTAAGGCCTTTTCTGCAACACTCCAATCAAATAACCAGAGTAGAATCTTTTTTTTTTTTAAAGATTTTATTTATTTATTCATGAGAGACAGAGAGAGAGACAGAGGCAGAGGGAGAAGCAGGCTCCCCGTGGAGCAGGGAGCCCGATGCGGGACTCGATCCCAGGACCCTGGGATCATGACCTGAGCCGAAGGCAGACGCTTAACCGACTGAGCCACCCAGGCGTCCCACCAGAGTAGAATCTTTACCTAGCTGTTACTTGTCAGAAATTCAAGGCTCTTTTCAGTGTGAATCTATTCATAATTTTAAATCCAGCAGAATTGTTGATAGTAAGTGTTGGGCATACCCAAAGAGGCCAAGATCTCAGCTTTGTACTTAGAGATTTAATCAAACACACGTTAAGTTATGTGTTATGACCCCCAAATCAACAAAATGCAGCATTTTAACAATTTTATGTCTTATTGTGGCCAAAAAAGCTTTCTTTTGCCAGAAATCCTTAATAATTTAATAAGCTTTATGCCCAAAAATAGGAAAAACGTTTCAATTCTTAGTGTCATGAAAGTAGAGAAACACTGAGTGATTTGACCAAATTGAGGATATGGTCAGTCTAAAATTGTAAAAATGTGAATTGCAAATGCCTTTTTAAAGACAGATTTCATTAACCAGCAGCACTGGCAAATTGAAATACTAAACATCTTTAAAAATAAATGTTCAGGGCGCCTGGGTGGCTCAGTTGGTTAAGCGACTGCCTTCGGCTCAGGTCATGATCCTGGAGTCCCGGGATCGAGTCCCACATCAGGCTCCCTGCTCAGCAGGGAGTCTGCTTCTCCCTCTGACCCTCCTCCCTCTCATGCTCTCTGTCTCTCATTCTCTCTCTCGCAAATAAATAAAAATCTTAAAAAAAAAAAAAAAAAAATTTTAAAATAAATGTTCATTTAAAAATCCTTGCTTAAGTAAATAAACCTATGCTGTCTTATTTAAACTATTAATTTTCTTTTCTTTTTTTAAACTGTTAATTTTCTAAGAAAAAAAATTTCCCCTGAAGGGCTGCCACTCTTCAATGGCCTAAAACCTATCAGGGGATACTGAATTAATGAGTTTATTACATTCATCATCTTATCCAAAATAAACAAATGGTTTTTTGTTTTTTTAAGGATTTATCACACAAGTTATTTAATAGGAGGTCTTTGAATTTAGGGAGCGAGAAAGCACAAGTTGGGGGAGGGACAGAGGGAGAGAATCTTCAAGCAGGCTCCCCACTGAGCGCAGAGCCCACATGGAGTTGATCCCGCGACTCATGAGATCATGACCTGAGCCAAAACTAAGAGTCAGATGCTTAACTGACTGAGCCACCCAAGTGCCCCCATACTTGATTTTTTATATCAGGTTATTCTAAAGTCAAATCTCCTCCTCTCTTCTCTTATCTATTCTCCAACTTTTAGTTTCAGTTCTGCTTACCTTACTCATAGGTTCTGTTTCCCAGAAACTTTGGTATCTAGCAGAGCGAATCAGTGTATGACTCCCAACACTTGGCTGTGATTCTCCCGGCCCTGCTCATTCCTTCATGTTTTTGATCTATCTGTATTTTATAATATTAACATTACTCAGTAATTTGAATTTTCTAAGTGTCTTTCATCATCCTGAAGAATCCCCAAATGCCATTTTAGTGTGTAAGTTATACAGCAAACATTCGTGATAAAACTTGCTTAAATGAGAGCTTCCCCCCAACACACACACCATAGCAATCTCTTCTATTTAGAACATTTGAATTGCCTAGCAATCTTGACTAACATTCTAATTCTTTATGGAATGTCTCCCTACCTATTACTTATTTCCTAAAAATGATAGTATGAAACACATTAAGGTACAATTTATCTAACTGTAGTTTTGACAGATGGCATCTCAGTAATCAAAAGGGAGAAACTGTGAGTGAAATAAAAAGGAATTCTGTTCAATAAAAATTCTCTTTAGGTCACAGAGTTTAAAAAAAATGTTTACCACTATGCATGAATTACTATAAAAATGATAAGCAATATGTCATATGTGACCTTTCTCTTTCCATCACGTTGATGGTCCTTGCCTATATCTCTTTGGTTTTTTTAAAAAGAACCAGGATTCTGATTCATTACTTTGATTTATTGTTTTTCTGTTTTCTACCTCATCAATTTGTCTGTATCTTTATTATTTCCTACCATGTGCTTTCTTTTGTTTTACTTTTTTTCTTTTTGTGTTAGAAATTTAGTTCACTTATCGTCATTCTCTCATTTTTATTGAAACAGGCGTTTAAGGCCGGGGGTTTTCCTTTTTTCACTGCTTTACTGCCTCTCAGATGCTTATGTATTGTGTTCATTGTCATTATTTTTTGGAAGTTCTTTAATTTCCCTTATATTCTCTTTATCACACAAGTTATTTAATAGGAGGTCTTTGAATTTCCAGGTGAAAAGACCTTTTTGCTTTAGGGTTTTCATTTCAAAAATGAAAAATGGGGTTTTCATTTCTAGTTTTATGACTTTGTGACCAGAAAATGTTTGTAACATTTTTACTTTATGAACCTGCTGATCTTTTTTTTTTTTTTAAGATTTATTTATTTGAGAGAAAAAGTGCATGCGTGCGGGGGCGTGGAGGCAGAGGGAGAGGGAGAGAGAGAATCTCAAGCAGACTCTGCGCTGAGCACTGAGCGCAGAGCCTGGTGCCAGGCTCTATCTCACCACCCTGAGATCATGACCTGAGCCGAAACCAAGAGTCCCATGCTCAACTGAATGAGCCACCCAAGCGTCTGTGGAACCTGCTGATCTTTTATTTGTGCCCTAGAATATCTTTGGTTTTTGGCAATGTTCCTTCCATGTGTGCTTGAGAGGAAGGTATATTCTCTATTATCAAAGTGTTGTGTTTGATGTATATTGAGAAGTCTACCTTAGTGATGATTTCATCTAAATCTTTTATATCCTTACTTACTTTTTGTCAGCATGACTTATCTCACACTGAGCAGCCTGTTAAAGTCTCCTCATCACTGTGTTTCTAGTCCTTATTGCACCTCCTGTAATGTATGTTTTATCTAAGGGGGGTGGTGTGTTAAATGGTACATAGAGTCAGTTGTACCTTTATTGTGGATTGTGGCTTTTAACTTTAAGCGCTCTTTGTCTTATTTAATACTCTGCCTTGAAGACTACCTGGTCTGGTATCAGGATTTTAACTGGTGCTTTCTTACTGTTTTCATTCTCCTGGCAACTCTTTGTCCATCACTTTATTTGCAGTCTTTTTGAATCAGTGTCTTTAAGTGCCCTCTTGTATAGAGACAGAGTTGAAATTTTTTAAGAGCCAATTTGAAAATCCTTTTTTTTGAATAGGCAAGTTAAGTCCTGTGATGTTTATTGATATGACTTTTATGTTTGGTCTAAATTTTGTCACATTATTCTTACATTATCTTCTGGTGATAAAATTACTATATATTATATTTACTGTGGTTTTGTTTTTTTTTTTTTTTGATGTTTCTCCTTTTTCTTTAAAAGAATTTTTTTGTTGGGGCACCTTGGTGGCACTTAGGGTTGTGAGATCAAGCTCCCAGTCAGGCTCCACATGGAGCCTGCCTAAGACTCTCTCTCTCTCTCTCCCCTTCCTCCCTGATCTCTCTCTCTCAAAAAAAAAAAATTTTTTTTTGTCACTTGAGAAGGTTTGTGTTTTTATTCTAGTGGTTGTCTTCACATTAATACTTTTTGTAATACACCTATAGACAGACCCCCTTTCCTTTTACTTAATTCTTTGCTTTCTGTCAGTTGTAAATGATGTTTTTTGACAACCAGTGGTCTTCTACTTTTCCCCTTTTTATCACTTATCTTCCCATTTTGAGTTACATTTGTTCTTTTTCACACATGTAATATTTATATATTATTCTTCCATGTCATCGCTCTACCCATGTTTTAGTCGCAACTTTACAACTGAATAGGTAACGTTCGCCATCAGACCTTTTGCACACTTTCCCCATTTTTTTTTTTTAAGATTTAATTTATTTATTTGTCAGAAAGAGAGCACACAAGCAGGCGGAACAGCAGGAAAGGGAGAAGCAGACTCCCTGCTGAGCAAGGAGCCCAGTACAGGACTCGATGGCAGGACCCCGGGACCATGACGTGGGCCGAAGGCAGACACTAAACCTACTAAGCCACCCAGCCGTCCCATGTTTTGTTTGTTTGTTTGTTTTTAATGCTCACGTTCATCTTTTTTTCCAAATTTTATTTTAGAAAATTTAAAGCCTACAAAAAAAACAAGATTTTCACCAGTTGATCACACTTTGCCATATTTACCAGTCATCTTCTGGTTGGATGAAGCCCACCTCCTCTTGCAGATTCCTCAGAAGGGGCACATGTATACAGTGTTCTGGCACATTCTAAACAGTTTTTCTATGGCTTTGACTCTTTCAAAAATCTTAGCAGGATATAGGTGGTTTGTACTTTCTTTCCTTGTGTTTCTTTAAAATACTGGCTACTATTGCCTTGCTTTGTATGTTATTTTTGAATAATATGATGCCATCCTGATCCTCTTGCCTTTGTAAATTATTTCATCTTTTTTGCCTGAAGGCCCTAAGGATTTTTTCATCTTTAAATTCTAAATATGGTTTTATTAGGATATGTTTCAGAGTTGATCATTCTTGGTCGCTATTCCCTATTGTGAAAAATGTGTAGTAGATTCAGGGCTTCCTTTATTTCTAGGAAAGTTTCTTGGGTTATAGTTTTAAATAATAGTTCCGTTTCAGGGTTTTGACTTTTTTTTCTTCAGGGACACCAATGATGTCGTCTCCTTTGCCTGTCTCCCATCTCATTCACTTTCTTTCTCAGCCTTTTCACTTGTTTTCCTCAGTTTTCATCTTCTGTTCTCCTGATTTTCTTCAGGGCCTTTATTAAGTTTTCATTACAGTCTGTCCTCCCCTGGCTTCCTCTGTAATTTGGGCTTCCTTTCTGATACAATATTGTTGTTTTCTTCTCTTTCTTTCCTGACCTCAGCCAACTCTCATTTCATTCCTTCCTGTTTGCTTGCTTGCTTGTTTTACGTGTTTCTTGGTTTTACATTTCTGATTCGAGGGTGATTTTTCATATGCTCAAATGCTTGTTTGAGAATATCTGGTTTGGTTTGCAGTGTTGTGTTACAGTTTTCTTCACCTCATGTTTGTCAGTGCAGTGGGAGGGGGATACTTTTTATCAGCAAAAAAGATTTTATTCACATTTTCTGATATTTTGTAATAGTTTTGTGTGGGTGTGGCCTGCTTGTATCTATTCCTGTTCATCTTGTGGACAGGATTTAGTTTGAGAGTGCCCTCTTCTGGGCAGTTTCTGTCATGCGTGGTGGTGGAGGAGTGGGAGGGGTAGAAAGAGGGTTGGCATATCTTGCTGCTTTTTGTTTCTGCTGGTGCCTGAATGGTTCCTACTCCCTCCTTTGTGGCCATGTTTGCTGGGGAGATCATCTCTTCTCCAGAAACACTGCTTCTCTGAGGCTGCTACTTCTGGTCCCCCTCACTTTCAAGCCGTTACCGGGTAGCCAGGGCTGTGGACTCTACCTAGTTGCAACCGGAGCCTAACATCTTGGCTTCTCCTGCTCACTTTCTGGGGTGCATATGTCTGTGCTGCCTCCAGCCCTCTGCTCCCCCTGCTCCTTTTCAGTTTTCCAGTGTCTCCTCTCCCATTCTGCATACCTACATGCCCACAGGGCTGGCGGGTGAACGGTGGGAGCAACTTGGGAAAACATTTTCCCTCTGCTAACAGATAATTTGAAGGTTGTAGTAATCTCTGTCATCTAGGGATGCTGAAGGCATAGAGCCCATGTGCTTTTATGCGTTTGTTCTCCTTGTTGATTTTATAGCTGTTTTCAGAGGATGAGGGGGAGATTTGGAATCAGGCCACCACCATTTTTCTCCAAACCCAGAAGTCTTCTTGGCCTAATCTAAAATTATGAGCACTGTTTGATATTAAAGAAGTTTTTTAGCTTTTATTAATGATTTCCGATTTGCTGGTTTGTGAATTTTTTTTAACTAATTTGTGACTTTTCACTAAGGAGATATTTTCTACCATTATTCGACCATGTAACCAGAGTGCTAATCATCATCGTAATTAAAGTATTAGTTTTTGATTTTCAGGTTGTCCTTAATAAGCTACTTAGATATTAAAAGCAACAATTTCTACAGTAAGAGTCTATTCACTCATTAATTTTATGTAGTGATAAAATATTTCTGTATAAATATTTTCCTGGTAAAAAGTTATTACTAAATTTGAAATATGAACAAAGTCAGTTCCTCTTCTATGAATTTTGTTCTCATAGTACCTTATTAATAAAGATCAAATCCCTGTCTTTTATAGATAAGAACTAAAAGAACCAAACAGGGAAGCACTCATATTTCAAGATCTCTAAGAAGAGGTAGCAATATTTAATATGGAACAAAAAGCTGGTGAATCAAATAATGATCTTTTATCAAGTAGTGGTGTCACATCCAATGGAGGTGCGTATTCTTTATCAAACAAAATGGGAAAATTGGAATTAAGCAGCCCTCAGAATATTCATTCAGGCTGCTGTTTTTTAGTATGTTTTGGTTTTAACTGCAGGGCACAGACCGTGGTAATGAATGTTTATTGTTGGAAATTCTACTTTTTGAGGAAGAAACTGTTTAGTCTTTTAAAAATAGTATATCAATTTTTTTTAGCAAATGTTTACATTACTTTTTTGGTTTAAAAATTGTTTCCGTGTTGAGGGACTACAACGTGTTCCATGTTTCCCTAACACCTTCTCTTCCCTGGTTCACTCGAAGCCAGATTCCTGTGTCATTTTGATTCCTTTTCCCCTGCCCACCCCATCCAGTCAGGCATGCTCCTTCTGGTGTAGGCAGTGGCTCTCGAATCCATTCTTCCCTCTCCATCTCTACTGACCTACTTCCGGCCCCCTCCCCTCTGCCCAAACCGATCTCAGTCCAAGGATAGCCAGCAGGAAAATGGTAACAGGTGGGATAAATCGGCAGAACAGTGCAGGGAATTGGCAAGGAGTTGGTGTCGAAAGATCTGAGAAGCCTCACAGGGGAAGAGGCAACCCAGGGAGGCGCAGCCTGGGGCTGGAAGGACAATGAGAAGAGGAAGTGTTCTGAGGGCAGGAAAGCGAGAGCTCACACCTCCAAGAGGGCTGCCCGGAGGGAGCGGAAACCACCACTCAGGGCCAGAAGCTCAGCTGAGGCAGGTGAGCGGAGTCAGAGTTGTGCCAGGCGCAGCTTCTCTTCTCCTCGGCCGGCCTCCGGGTCTTCCCAGCACCTCCCATGGTGACCTCCCAGGAGACAAGGTGGGAAGGGAGCCTGGGAAAAGTAGTTCTCTGCAACACACCGCAGAATAGGGGAGAGCTAGGGAATGGACTTTCTGGCCGTTAGGCAGGTAGCCTGCACGGTCCCTGACTGCTTTCCCTGCCTGTCTCTCTCATCTAAAAGAATGCACCCAAAGTTTATTCGCAATTACAGATCTGTTGTTTTACTGGTCTGCTTAAACACCTTTATTTCAGCACAAATACTTTGAGAAATCTTCTGCTTTTTAGGATGCTTATGCCATCCTGAGATGCCTCTGTCCCTCCACCTTGCTGTACCCGTCTCCCCTGCCCACTCCACTCACCCACCTCCCCACACACTCTGTCCCTCGTACTCATTGGGGCACCAGCACTTAGCTCCTGGGTTGTCTCTCCCTCCTCAGGCACATCATCATCCCAGGATATCATTGTCCTCATGCATGACCCATCTGAGATCTTAAAGCTTCTTGACCTTTTTAGTTCTTCTCATCTCGATCTTGACTCTAGCCACCCCACTTCTCTTACTTGGATCTTATTACCAAGAACTGTTAGACTTCTGAAATCCAACCTCTTGTCTTCCAACTCTCTCAATCCCTTATTCCTAGAGCACCTATTCTGCCTCATGAAAGGAGTGATTCTCAACCATAGCTCCATGTCAGAATCACTTTTTGAGATTTTAAACATTTATATGGCTTAGATCCACACCTAGAGATTCTGATTCAGTAGGTCTGGAATGGGGCTTAGGTACCACTGGATTTTTTTTTAGACTCCCCAGGTGATACTGATTTCCAGTAAGGGTTGAGAACAACTGCTCTAGTTCCGCCATTTTCTCCTAAAGTAATACTGCTTCTTATCCTCACTTTCTCTTATCATTCATTTTTTCAGCCAACCACTTGCCAATCTCTTTAACTTTTTCTCGTATTCTTCTGTTGCACTCTTACAGGAAAACCTCCATCTTTATCAGGCTGACTGCCTTCTCCATTTTTGTACTGGGCTTCTGGAAGATTCTCCTAGAGAAAATACACAAATTGTGGATTTTCCATCAGTTTGTCACCTCACAGTCGTAGTCTCCTATCTCATCTGTGTCCTTGATAATGCTAGAGGAGCATTCAGTGGATAAAGTTTCAAAATAGATTTTTTTGATCATAAATTCACATGGATAACTCAAATTCAAATCCAGAACCGTGGAGTTCTTCCTCATTTTCTCTCATTCCATATCTGCATCTCCCCTACAGTGAAATTCTAGTTTCTAAAACCTTCACCATATTTGTTCATTTTCTCTCTTGCATGGTCCATACAAAAGCGTTTCAGAATTATAACCATGCTACCACCGTGAACAACTTCCCAGCTAAGTGAGGCTCACGAAGACCACAGAGTACTGTGTTCTAAAGTTATTTTAAGGAACTATTTTCTTTGTGACATTATGTTACAAACTTTCTATACCCTTAGGTTTATTTCTGTTAGTATTCAACTTCATTTTATTTTTTGAATATGTATAACATGTACATGGCTCAAAAGTAAAAACTTAATGAAAACGTATATTCAGTAGAGTTTTGCTGCCATCCCTCTCCCTTCCACTCTATTTCTACCCATCCCTATACCCCTATAGCTAACCATTTTCATGAGTTTCTGTTTTTATTCTTCCAGGGTTTCTTTTTGCAAAAGTAAGTAATTGCTTCCCCTCTCCCCTGACATACATGTGCACATGCTTAACACATTCACTCTTATTTCTCCTTTCTTACAAAGAGGAGGGAAATTAACCTCTACCTATTAAAGGGAGGACCATCAAAGAATTTATGAACATACTTTCAGAGCACCACAGTTTGCCCACCTCTGGTCACAAATTATTTACATTTCTCTCACCTACAAAGTACATTCACTCTCTCCCGAGAAGGCCTTTAACAGTCTCATCCCATTACAGCATCCATCCATTCAAAGGCCAGAATCTCTTTTTTGAAATTAGATTCAGGTATGGATGAAGCTCCTCAGTTGTAAGTCCTTAAGTACGGCTCCCTGAGTTGAGTTCCTCTTCATCTGAAGACCTGTGACAGCCAACGTACAGTGGCAGGGCCACATGTATCAAAACTACCGTTCCAAATGGGGAAAACAGGAGGCACACGGTCCATCACGATTCTGAAATCTAGCTGAGCACAGGTTTCCCGTTCCCTGATTAGGACTCAGGCTTGGGAATAATTCCTCATGGTTCTTGGAGCCATTCTCTGGACTCTTGGGTCTAACTTTGAGACCTTTTTTTTTTTTTAAGATTTTATTTATGTAATTGAAAGAGAGAGAGAGGGAGCGTGTACCCAAGCACGAGCAGGGGGAGGATGAGGGGCAAAAGGAGAAGGAGAAGCAGGCTCCCCACTGAGCAGGGAACCAGATGTGGGGCTCCTTCCCGATCCCAGGACTCTAGGATCTTGACCTGAGCCGAAGGCAGATACTTAACCAACTGAGCCACCTGGGTGCCCCATGAGACCTCCTTCCTTTATATGAAAGATAGCGTATGTTTTCAGCTAAGGGGTTTCTGCTTATTGGAAGGTCTCTTTTCATCTCACACTGTCTCTGTCCCTCAGTCCAAACCAGTGGTGTTTCTTGAATATAATTCTCTAATATCTCTGTGGCTCTTCTGTGAATCTTCCTGGGTTTTACTTCCTTATCTTCCCTTTAAATATTGGTATTTCTTCAGAGTACTCTTCTTGGTCCTCTTTTTTCATTCTATACTACTGTCTCTGGATGATCCCATTGACTTCAGGGATTCACTAGAATTCAAATGCTGATGATTCCCAAATCCTTATCTCTGAAGCAACACATACTCCTGAACACACAAATCAAACAGCATTACTTGGATGTTGAAGCTCAAAACCCAGTAGAGATCTTTGACACCCCCCTGTCTTTTACTTACCACATATATTTCTCAAGTCCACACCCTTTCTGTCTGTCAACCACTGTCTGCTTTAGGGTAGACGCTTGCCATTTCTTGCCTGCATCGTTGAAAGCCTTCTCCGACTCCATTCTCTACTTCAGTTTTATCCCCATCCAGTGCATTCTCCACACTGAAGCCAGACAGCTTTTTCAAACCACAAACCTAGTTAACTACTCTCTTACTCTCAAATCCACTAATGACTTCCCGAAGCTTTCAAGATGAAATTCAAGCTCCTTGGCATGACCACAAGGTCCTTCAAGATCTGGCTTATATCTTCATTCTCATATCTGGCTACTTCTTTCCTGTCACCCGGAATATCTGTGCTGATTCAAGCCTCCTCACCAATAATTGTGGTGCTCCCACTGCCTGCAATGCCCTTCCTCTTCTCCTTAATATACTTCAAGGTTCATTCAGCTCAGGTATCACTTGATTACTATCAAGTAAAACTCACTCCTCTTCCCTAATCTCCTTTTTACGTAGTGTTCGTCTCTCTCAGAGCTCTTACCAATCTTTTACTCGTCTATTTTCCCCAAGACCTTGAGCATCTTCAGGGTTCATTAAGGAAATCACCTAGGATAATGTTTACCACAAAATTATTTTATTAGTAAGTTGATTGATTAATTCTTTAATATTTAGGTTCTTCAAGTCCATTTTTTATGTCATCTATTCGTGGTACAATAATTGAAAACACATCTTCAGCTGGGACATTGACACAAATTCCTTTTTTCCCCAAATATGAAGTGGAACTTGATTCTCCTAGAAAAGTCATCCCATACCCTGGAAAGGAACACATTGAACGTGTTTTGGAAGAATATTCACATCAAGTCAAAGATCTGCAGAGAAGACTAAATGAAGTGAGTTGCGTTCTTTTCTTCTAGTACTTTATGCCATTTGGGAATGACAATGAGGCACGTTGCCTTGGAACAGAACCTAAACTTACTAAAAGAAACACTTAATGATGGATTTATTGGTTAAACTTGTTAATTTGGCTTATGCCTTCTATTTCAGTATTAAAAATTGGGCACATGAAGTTTATATACCTATTTTTCTCTTAATAGTCAGAATGCCCTGGTTTCATTGTTAATTTTAATTAAACTTGAATAGCTCAAAATGTTATAATTAACGATGTTTATCTGTAATTATAATAATTGGTTCGGGCCTGCTGTCCTGCTCTCATGATACATTGTTTTTCTTTTCTTTTTTAAAAAAAATTTTTAAATTATTTATTTATTTATTTATTTGAGAGAGAGAGCAAGAGAGTGCACAAGAAGGGGGGAAAGTCAGAGGGAGAAGCAGACTCCTTGCCAAGCAGGGAGCCCAACATGGGACTCAATCCCAGGACCCCCAGACCATGACCCGAGCTGAAGGCAGATGCTTAACTGAGCCACCCAGGGGCCCTGATACCTTGTTTTTCTTTACAAAGCAGTTGTGGGGATAGGTTTTTAGATGTATGTGTATATATGATAACTAAATAGTATATAGAAGTTATTTGCTAAAATTTTATTTTTATATTTGCTAAAAATTTTTAAGTAGATCTTATGTAGAATGAAGCCAGCTTTAGCCAGCTTTACAGTTGTAAACTGTGTCCCAGTAGTCTGTAGTCTTCTAAAAGTGAAACTTACCATTGTACCCAAAGCCTCTCATGATATAACCCCTCTCTGTATATTTTAACTTCATCTACTATCTGTTCCCCAAATGTACCCTCCATTCCAGCAATATTTAGCTATTTGCTGTTCCCTAGAGATAGCATGCTCTTCTAAAGCTTCATGCTTTTGCCCAGGCCATTTCCTCTTCTTTACCTTGTCTGCCTGGCAAATTCTTATTATCCATCAAGACTCAGCTCAAGCATTTCCTTTTCTGAATCCTTTGCTCTAAACAGGACTAGGTATATTCTCCTCTGTATGGCTGTTGCCCTATGTGCACATGTCTGTTGTAGTATTTAGTTCGTGTTACCGTATTCATTAACACCTTGTTCTACCTCATTCAGACTGTGTAAGCACATTTAGGGAAAAAACTACAACTTCATTAAGTGCTAAAAATCATGTACTATTGTATTATGTACAGGGATACAGAGATGAATAAGGTAGGACTCATAAGGGGTTCATAGACTTGAAGAGGATCTGGTATATAAACAAATAGTCATAATACCTTATGATAAGTTCACTAATAAAGAGGATAGGTGGGTTGGGTGGATGATGGATGGATGGATGGATGGATGGATGGATGGATGGATGGAGCGAGCACAGAGATACCAGTGAGGGAAAGAAACAGTGTCTTAATTCATTTTCCCTGTCCATCCTCTGGCAGAGTATCTGACACTTGATTGGCTCCCAGTAAATATGTGTTAAATCTCTAAATAAATAACAGGACTATTTGGATACTTGTAATATTTAGCATGAACCTCTATGTAACACATGTGCTAGGTACTGGATATATAAAGCTGGAAAAGATGCGGCCCTTTCTATGTACACATTTACAGTCTGTGGCTGAGATTATTTATTTATTTATTTTTTAATATTTATTTTTTATTTTTTATTTTTATTTTATTATTTATTTGACAGAGACACAGCGAGAGAGGGAACAGAAGCAGGGGGAGTGGGAGAGGGAGAAGCAGGCTTCCTGCTGAGCAGGGAGCCCGATGTGGGGCTCGATCTCAGGACCCGGGGATCATGACCTGAGCCGAAGGCAGAAACTTAAAGACTGAGCCACCCAGGTGCCCCTTTATTTATTTATTTTTTAAGATTTTATATATTTGACAGAGAGAGACAGTGAGAGAAGGAATACAAGCAGGGGGAGTGGGAGAGGGAGAAGCAGTCTTCCCACCAAGCAGGGAGCCCGATGTGAAGCTCAATCCCAGGACCCTGGGATCATGACCTGAGCCAAAAATCAAGAGTCAGATGCTAAACTGAGCCACCCAGGTCCCCCAAACCTCATTTGTTCTTGATACCTCTTCCCTGGTGTCACTTTATCACCATGTCCATCCATTGTACCTCATATATATTTCTCAGATCTGTTTCCATTTCCACTGTTGCCATCCGAAGTTCAGATTATTCTGTAGTCATTCACCTGAACTATAAGAGGAAAAGATAGAGGGCCTTAACCTTATATTGGCTATATAAACATTGTCAATTGCAGAACCAGCTAGTATCCTATCACACTTCCTTTCCTGTGTAGTGTTTTTTCTGGTGGTTATTTTTTTTCTTAAGATTTTATTTATTTATTTGAGAGAGAATGAACGAGAGAGAGAGCATGAACTGGGTGGGGGAAAGTCAGAGGGAGAGGGAGAAGCAGACTCTTATGTTGGAGGGAGCCCGATGTGGGACTTGATCCCAGAACCCTGGGATCATGACCTGAGGTGAAGGCAGACGCTTAACCAACTGAGCCACCCAGGCGCCCCTTTCCTGATGGTTATTCTTGCCTTTCTTTTTCCTAATGCTGTGTGCCTTTATCATATGATCTTTTTTTTTTTTTTTTTTTTTAAAGAACCGCCATGTAGGTTTTCTCTCAAATCCTCCTTTGATCCCGGACTCTTCAGGAGTCTTCTGTCCTATTTTTCCAGTCTAGGTGAGTTTCTTAGGTCTGTCTATAACTGTTTTCTTCTTTGCATTGCTTTCCTGATTAGATCCATGATTTCCAGAATTCACTGTTTTCTGTCTTCCTTTCTCTTGATCTACTTCTTCATTTAGTCAAAGCACATCTTTAGAAACTTAAAGGGTATATGTGCATACATTTTATGGATCTTTGCATTCTGAGAATGACTTTAGCTGGGTAAAGTTGAAAGTCATTTTCTCTCAGTCCTTTGAAAATATTGTGTCCTTGCATTTCGTATTGCTACTGAGAAGTAGATGTCTGTCTGATACTTGCTTCTTTGCGGATGATATGCTTTTACTTAATTTAGCTGGATAAAGTTGAAAGTCATTTTCTTTCAGTCCTTCGAAAATATTGTGTCCTTGCGTTTCATATTGCTACTGAGAAGTAGATGTCTGTCTGAAACTTGCTCCTTTTTGGATGATATGCTTTTACTTAATTGAGGTTTGTCTTTGGAAGCTTTAGAGTCTTCTGTCTCTGAAAATCCACCATAATGTGCTTAGGTGTGGATTTTAGTTTTTTCATTCATTGTGCTGGGGATTCAGTGGATCCTTTGGTCCACAGATTTGTACTTTTCAGCTTTGATTTGTTTTTTCTTTGATAGTTTCATTCCCTCTGTTTTCTCAGTTCTCTCATTCTGTGGCTCCTATTGGTCATATGTTATCTCCTAGGTTATACCTCTAAATCTCTTACCTTTACTTTCAAAAGTTTTACCTACTTTCCTACTTTGGGGGGACATTTCTTGACTTCTAACATTTCTATTGCAGCTTTTTAGTGTGCAAGCATAGTTTTAATTTCCAAGAACTCAGTTCTCACTTGGTCACTTCCTTGGCATTGTATTTTGTTCTTACTTTACAGCTGTGATGTCTCTCAAATTTCTCTGCAAATACAAGTTTCCGGAAGTGTTCTTCTGTTGCTGCATTACTTTGTTTCTTTGGATCCTTTTTTTCTCGTGTTTGCTTCTTTGTTTAACCTTGGTCTCCGTTTTTTATTTTATAACCTTTCTTCAGGTGTACAGTGGTGTTGGTTGGTTGGTTGGTTTTTGTTCATACTCAAGGATGAACAATAAAAAAGCTGATGGCAAGTTGTCTAGCAATAGGCTTTGCTTTGGGATGATTACATTGTATCAATTTTTATGCTGGGAGGTCTTGCAGTGCCTGATTTTAGAGATCTTAGTGAATTTCTCTGTGGTAGAACACCTTGACTTTTGGGGGGTGGTTGTCTGCTGTCAAGTTTTTAAGTGGTTTGGAAGTGGGGATTGACTTTTCTGTATACAGAATTTTAACCAGTTTTCCTGTTTTCAAAAATAAAACTTATTTCTATATCTTGAGGTAGAAGTCTGATTTGTTTTAGAAATAGTGTTTTGGTTATTAAGTAAAGAATAGATTTTGAAAGGGGCCAAGCTTGAGACAGTGATACAAGTTAAGATAGTTCAGTAATCTAGGTAAGAAATGATTAATTAGGCCCTGCAATATGGTAAAAGGAGAAGGAAGTACACATAAAAATAAATTAGTAATCTGTGGATTTTTGGAAATTATTAGGAATTTCCTAATAATTTAAGGAAATATGTTCCTCTGGTAAAGGCTGATTTGCATGGCATTTTTTTTTTTTTCAGAGCAATGAATTGCATGAGAAACAAAAGTTTTACTTAAGGCAGTCAGTCATTGATTTGCAAACAAAACTTCAAGAGATGCAAATGGAGAGAGATGCCATGGCTGACATCAGGTTGGGCATCGTTACCTAAAATTATTTTAAAGTTTTACTCTTTGTAGTATAAAGCTACTTGTGTGAATATGAATTTTATCAATATTGTTTCTTCTCTTTCATTTATTTCATAGACGAAGGGAGAGTCAGTCCCAGGAGGATTTAAGAAATCAGCTTCAAAATACAGTTCATGAACTTGAAGCTGCCAAATGCCTTAAGGAGGACATGCTGAAAGATAGCAACGCACAGATAGAGCAGCTGAGAAAGATGATGCTTGGCCATGAGGGAGTACTTCAAGAAATCCGATCAGTCCTAGCTGACTTTGAAGAAGCCGCGGGCAAGAAAATATACGAACACGAGAGCGTGTCTACTCTCCACTTCCGCAACATGGGCTCGGCTATTAGTAAAGTCCTGAGAGAATTAGACACAGAGATTTCTTACCTTAAAGGGAGGATATTTCCAGTAAGTGGTGAGAACACTATTCAATTTTATATTAAAATTCATTAAGAGAATAGTATTAGGTATATAATTTTTTAAGTTCTTAAAAGTAAGCCAAGTTCTCATTTTTGTTCTCTAAAATAACAGTTATTTCTACAATGATGTCTCAGTACTTTAAGGGAACTAGCTTGATTTACCTGTATGGCTTCATGAGAGTATAACCAACCAAAGTAAACAATCTAATAAAATGCAGTGATAGAGTGTATTCGGTTTCTGTATTACTTTTATTTGCTTCTTTCTAAAGTGTTCCTCTAGGGATGCCTGGATGGCTTAGTCGGTTGAGCGTCTGCCTTTGGCTCATGTCATGATCCCAGGGTCCTGGGATCGAGTCCCCCACTGGGCTCCCTGCTCAGCAGGGAGTCTGCTTCGCCATCTGCCCCTACCCGCCACTTGTGCACACAGGGGTTCTCTCTCTCTCTCTCTCTCTCTGACAAGTAAATAAATAACATCTTTAAAAACAATAAAGTGGTCCTTTGGTTGGAAAATCTCCAACGTTTCCAAGATGTAGATTTACCAGTCCCTAAATCAGCATCTCTTTTTTGTAACTAGGTAGAGGATCAGCTTGAAGCACTGAAGTCTGAATCACAGAATAAAATAGAATTGCTTCTTCAACAACATCAAGATAGGTGGGTTTCTGACTGAAGTATAGAAAGTCATAGTGAACTAAACCATAGGTTTACAGTCCCTCATCAGCAATTCCAAAATCGAAAATGTTCTGAAACAAAAGTTTTCTTCGTTGGTTTGTGGCAAGTTCATGTGAAAGGGAAAATTTTTCTGACACTTGTTTAAAAGGTTCAGGAAGACTTTATTCAAGGCTTTTGCAATAGGGATTCTGTGTTAGGGGAAAGAGATGAGACTCAGCTCTCCCAATACAACCAAGGAAGTAGGAATTTACAGCCAAGGAGCAGGTGAGTGGGACAGTGGAGACATCAAGGGTGGGGGGATTCTCACTAAACTGATTTAGCAAGATTCTTACTAAGCCTGGACAGGCCAGGGCGGTTGGGGGAAGGGTTGATGGGTGCCAAGGTCAAGGCCTACAAGATGACTCAGAGGAGCCTGACTAAAGTTTGGTCAAAGAGAGAGTCTTTTGTCATTCATTTGTTGACAAAACCTGACTTGAGCTTAATGTAAAGCTTTATGATATAAAGTCTTTATGATTTAGTGTAAATATTTAAAAACCTGTTGTTGTATTTGTAATATGTTTGGCTTATAGGAACTTCCCTATGTGTGTCATATAGTATATAGTAGTTGTAACTTATTACCATTGTAAAATTTAAAAAAAAAAAAATCCGAATTCCAAAACTTAAAATGAGCACCATGTTCAAAGTCAAAGCAAAATACTCAATTTGTGAGTGTTGAAAACCATTAATTTTTGGAATAATTCATAATCAAGGAAAATCTTATGTATCAAATAACAAACACCACATTCTTTTTATAGGATTGAGCAGTTAATAAGTGAACATGAAATCGAAATAACAGGACTTACTGAGAAAGCTAGCAGTGCTCGAAGTCAAGCCAATAGCATCCAGAGTCAACTGGAAATCATTCAGTATGTGTGTCCTCTGGTTTGAAATTGGTATCATTTATCTTCATTTTAGAGATACTGTTTTCATTAATGTTCTGTCCTAAGATCTTTTAAAATTGGCTTTAAAATCTCACAAGAAAGTAAAACTTCTCTCACATTCAAATGAATGGAAAAGATTACTTAAAGATAATATTATATGACCATATAAGAAGTATTATTGGCGTAAGTGAGAAGGTATTTGTACCCCTCCACCTGTCCAGTTTGTTGCGGGGGCTGTTTAGGGTGACAAGGTTGGCAGCAGGACAGGGCTCCAGGCGTGACTCAGGCCCACCCTAGAGGCCAGCCAAGCCCGCGGCTGAGGGCTGAGGCCCGTTGTGATGGGGGAACAGGAGCAGGGGGTATTTCCTTCGAGAGTAGGAAATAGGAGAGCGACTAGAAGTTCTTTCTTTAGGCTTTTCTCCTCCTTTATGCAACAGTACTTTACACAGCAACTAAAGGGATGTCACTGTGGCGCCTTGTCCACATCTGTCTCCCCCATTGGTGCACTGAGTATGTTGTGACTGCCTTTCTAAAGGCCCCAGTCACTAGGAGTAGCACGTCCTGTTGGCCCATAAGCAATGAACTGTGTGAGAGGACCGGGCACGGGCATGGTGGGCTCAGTCTTCCCTGATCCTTCGCAGGCAGCGGGCGCAGTGCGCACCTTGTGCTCAAGAACAGTGTGACCAGAGGCCGGTACCGTCTGCACGCCAGGGGTTAGACACGTATTCCCTGTAAGGCTGTCCTCGCTGACCAGGGGGTGGACAGGAGTGCTGCATGTGGAGCCAAGGCCTGGGGCAGTGGCCGCCACCCCTGCACCCTGTATTCTCCCTTAGGGGGAAAAAAAAAGTATTGCAAGTATTTAGGCCTCTTGAAATTGGATGTTTTAAATATTGTTCATATTACAACTGATAGGATCAAAAACACGTGTATGTGTAAATATATATAAACAAAACGTATATGTATACATATAAATAATTTTGTAATTTGAGCTTATATGTATTGAAACCTTTTATTGGGACATTTTCAATCATATACAAAAGTAGAGAGAAAATAGTACAAATGAACTCCAATATATACTATCTAGTTTCAGCACTTAACAACATGGTTGAACTGAAGCTTTTAAGAAGAAATTTTGGAAAATAAAAGACTTTTCACCTAGTTAATGCCATATAAAAGAACTAGTGGCAGTATCTAAATCACACTTATTCTTAGTTTGCTGTTTGCTTTTATTCCCCTTTTAAACTCTTCTTAGAGAACAAGCAAGAAACCAAAATTCAATGTATATGCGCCAACTCAGTGATCTGGAATCTACTGTTTCTCAGCTACGTTCTGAGTTAAGAGAAGCCAAAAGGATGTATGAAGACAAGGTGAGGTTAGATTTGGCTGCTCTGCCTCCCCACACTATTATACACAGATTTAATTACAAATTTTTTAATTATTTGAAAATGAGGAATCAAAGTAATGTCAAATTAAAAGCAGTTTTTAAGATGGAGTAGGAGGGTGCCAAATAGTTTTATGTTAAATTATAAAAAATTTTTAAAGGGGGCACGTGATGTAATGAGCACTGGGTGTTAGATGCAACTGATGAATTATTGAACACATCTGAAAAAAATTATAAATAATTTTAATTTAAATGGTTTATCCAGATTAATTGTTAATTGTTCAAGTTTCTAAAAAAATAAGTTAAAAATAAGAGCACTTAAATTTTTTTTTACAGGCTTAGCTCTAACACAGATTTGGAACCAGGCAGTCTCCCCCTACCACTCAGTACTTGAGGGGCCTACCTCTTAGGTTTTACTTCAACTCCCAGTTATTAATCACTGTGTGGCTAGCAAACCGAATTAATAAGATTAGTCTAAATAAAAAATAATTAGGAAGATAAATCTTCATCTTTCATCACACAATTCCTCTTAAACCCAGATACTCATATTTGATATTCTGTAGTTTTTATTCTCTCACTTTCCATAGCTAAAGAGGAGCTGTTCACTATCAACCATTTATCCAGAGCTTATGTTTTCATTAATCGCAAGCATTTGTAAAACAGTAGAGACCCTAAAAAACCAGCAGAGGGCTCCCATTCAGAGGAGCTCAGTTTCTTCATTCCCTGTGAGAAGGGGGGCCCACCATCCATGCCTGTTTGCGGCAGTCCAGTTTATACCTGCTATCCCCGTGTCTGTTTTGTGAACACTACCTTTCATCTCCAAATTGACTCAGTTTGGAAGACAAACTCTAATAAGTCATCCTACCTATAAGAGAACCTCCCGTTTTAACCATCGCTTTTAGCCAACTTCTCACACTTTAGCTGATTGGGAAGAAATAGAATATAAGGAAGTTGCCAGATTTCCTCTAAAAAATAGCCCAATTCTACAGGGTGGTAACAGTACAAGGAAAAAAAAAAACTTCACATGGGAAGAAGCAGTTAAATACTGCAGCTCTAATTCTTCCAGACATTTGCCCTCCTTCAGGCAGTCCCTCATTTAGTTACCCCGTCACCCCTGTGTTGGCCACAGGAGGGGGCTGTTCCCCCTTGGTTCTCGAGTTCAAGGGCAGAATGTAAAATTACCTCGACCTTAATTCCCTGTGGCACAGCTAAAATAAGAATAGAAAATTTAGACATGGCTTTACTAAAGTCTAAACAATAAAGAGTAATGTGAAACTACATAATCTCAGTTATGAGATTTGGATCCCCTACCATAGTGGCTTTCAAACATTTTTCATCACTACCCACAGTAAGAAATAGCTTACCTTCCTATCTGCTATACACATATGACTGAAACGAGTTTCACGGAACAGTATTTACCAATATAGTAACCGATATTCATCACTATTCAACCTATTTTAAAAAAATTAAATATTCGTTGTTTATTGACAAACCCTTTGAAAAGCTATGAAGTCCTAAGCAAAACTCAACTCACTTGTGTCTTCTTACATAATTTGAAAGTGCTCTAGCTTTCCATTGTAATGTTGCTTGGAAAAATGACCCCTCCATAAGCTATCACCCATTGTTTGCTAATTCATATACAGTCTAGATACAGCACCATGCTGCTCAACTCTAAATTTGAGCATGGTGGGAAATTTTAATGAATACTGAATACAGTAAAGAATACAAAGAATACAAAAACTGCTTTTGAGTTTTTATAAATATTTATCTCTTTGGCATTGTAGAAGCATAAGCATCCAGATGAATGACTGCAGACTTTTTCGTATGAATGTTCTGAGGCCGTATGGATATATAATGATACAAATAGATATGATGTTAGAATCATTATCTTATTTTGCCCTAATGTAAATAGTGGATCACCAATAATTTTGTCAGTCTTAAAAGGTCAACATTTAATAAAAATAAGGGGGACATACTACCTTAGCTAATTTTAATCTAGATCAATGAGATTCATAACAACATATTGAAAATACGGAGTTGGCACCAAGATGGTGGTTAACTAGGCTCTCTTATTAGTAACTCCCTTTAGTCAGGGAACACTGAGAGCTGATTATCTTGTCATGTTAATATAGAGTTGAATGTACTTTGGCCTGAAATGTCATCATGGTGACATTTTCACATGGTGAAAAATCAAGCTAGTTAACAAAAGGATTTCATTTGGGGGTCATGAAATATTCTATTGTTATGAAATGTTTTTGTTGTTGAATATAAAATCTAAAAACCACAAACCCTTGCTTTATTTCTTTCATTTTCATATACCTTGACTTTACATTGCTAAAGCCTATGAAAACTTTAAAATCAATTTTATTTTCTACTGTTTTTATGAGCATATTAGTGTATACTATCCAAATAACACTAAGGGAAAAAAATCAAAGAAAATAATACATAAAAGCTATGATTAAAAGTGAGATTTTTTGTGAGAAGAAACTTTAAATGAGTGTGTAGATACTACACATCAGCATAGTTTATGAGAAACAGTATTGTATTTTCACCTGCAGTCAGACTCCTTCAGAAAAAAGTCTTTATTATTTAAAAAATTGGATGACATGATAGGTCTGAAAAAAACTTTTCCAACTAGAAAGCATAAATTGTCCTTTAGGAGGACAGTGTGTGTCTTCAGATTAACAAAATATTTTCATACTGATGGAAATAGAAACTGTGTTTCAAAGAAAATTGTAGATGTAGCTTTTGTAGCTTACAAAAGTGTTCTACTGTAATGCTTTTTTCTATTCTTCTCTTTCCATTTTAGGAGAACCTCCAGAATTCCCCTTTACGAATTTGGACCAGTAGAAGCTGTCATTATTGGCTCTGTAGATTTGGCTTTACTCTTAACTTTCGCTTTTTGACAACAAAAATATCTCATGATCTTGATTCTAAGTTTACTTTTCCTACTTTGAAAGCATTTGGGGCTGAATTTCATACTCAAAAAGTAAAGATTTAGTAGCACTGGCTGGAGCTATATCCTGTGTGGGAAGAATCTGTGCAAACCTATTTGTGCAGTTCTGCCAATGCACCCCTGTGCTGACCCACAGCACCTCTCAGTATCCAATGTCTGTGTCATCTTTCGGAGCACAGAAAACAAAAGAGAATTCGGCTTGATTGGGAACGTCTCTAAAATCATTGTAAAGATTCGAATGAGATCCAAGTACTTATTTGTCCAGTGATCCAAAACAGAAAGTAGATTCATAGATGGTGAAAGGGAAAACCAGTGCTGCTATTGGAAAAGAAAAGAAAAAGAAAAAACCTTTGATATACCTCTCGGATGTCAGTATTTATTCTGGACATTTCAGAAGGCTTTGTAGTGTTTTGTACAGCTGTTTGTTCAGCTCAGCTGCTACTTCAGTGGTTTTCCCTTTCACTCTCCATTTCTCTTCTTGATTGATTAAGTAACAGAAATATTTTTCCTCTAAAAAGTGAAAGGTAAAAGCAGAGCTATAGCAGTTGAGTCAGTACTGACAACTACAAAACCAATGTTCCTGCAGGGGTCTGGAGGAACTTCTGATGCTTGATAAACCTAGAGGGAAAGAGGAGACTTGGCTCTCTTCTTTTTCTGTGTTCTTTTCTTTCTTTTCTTTTTTAAATTTTGGTCTCCTGAAGTTTACCATCCAGTTTGATGTTATCAAAGAGTGATCCAGGATATTTTAAAAAAATGAAAACGGACAAAATAGCAGGTCTTAATTTAAGCTTTTAAAGCACATGGACAAATACTTTGCTCAAAGAGAAAATAGTTTATGCCAAGCTTGGACTAGAAAATGTTTTAGTCATATGAGTAACTCTTCACTTTGAAAGTGTTCTTACTAAATTTATAGCTCAGAATGTTGTTTCTTTGACCATATTTTGTTTCCAAAAACAAGTGGAAATTATAGAATTTCAGCTTTATTAATACTGTTCTTCTCATGTGAGAAAGTATTAGACACAGAATTGAAAGGACTTCAAAAGATTATCTAGAATATTCTTTTCAAATTTTGGGTTAAAAAAAAATTGAGAATCAGAGAGGTCATGTGACAGAACTGGACCAGAACCTAAAGTGTTTGACTCTTAGCCTGATCATGTTCCCTCTCTGATTACATTTGTCCACCCACAGTAAAAGTCTGTGGGCTTTCTCCTAAGTATTCCTGATGTCATTACTAAGTGTGTGCTGATTTGGTCTTTCCCAATAATAATAGAGCTGAAAGGATTATATCAGCTGATACCATTCCTCCACTTTCCTTAGGAAGCTACTCATGCCACGGAGGTTGAGTTGTTGTATGGCTTTTTTCTATATATGCCCCCAAAGGAGCACAAGAGTGCAAGAATTTCTTTATAGGATTATTAGAATCTTTTAACGTTTCTATTGGTAGCCTAATGTTTTATATACATTTAATTCTTATGAAATACTTGCTGATATCTAACATACAGTCAAATATAAAGTCATTTTTAAAATATGTCCAATGTAAATATTAAAATGTGTATTCCAATCCCTGTAGGCTATGATTCTACTCTGTAGGTAAATGTGAAACTGTTTGATGATCCTATATAAGTACTTTTTAAAAGTCATATATATGTATGTGTAGTTAAAGGTATATAAATTCTATGTATTCATACTTAGCATTTATCAAAGAGGTAGTTGCATATATGTGTGTTTATATAACTAATAAATATGTGCTGAATTAATAAACGAAGGTCTTAAATGAACGTGGTCCAGAAAAAAATAGAGTCATCAAGAAAAAATTAATCTTGCTCATATATTTTCTAAGAAATTTTCATCACGGTTTGTCCTCCAAACCAATCAATAGGTTTTATTCTTGACATAGTAAATCTGGAAGCCTGTTGAAGTAAGAAGGAAATGTAGCATTTATGTAGATATGAAGGATTTCTTATTACTGGTTGATGAAATAGTATTTTAGTGATTACACTAAGTATCAACATGTTCTCATTATTTTAATATGTCTGTATCTAAATTATGAATTTGTGGGGCGCCTGGGTGGCTCAGTCATTAACCGTCTGCCTTCGGCTCAGGTCATGATCCCAGAACCCTGGGGATCGAGCCCCGCATCCGGCTCCCTGCTCAGCGGGAGGCCTGCTTCTCCCTCTCCCCCTCCCCCTGCTTGTGTTCCTTCTCTCGCCGTGTTTCTCTCTGTCAAATAAATAAATAAAATCTTTTAAAAAAATAAATTACGAATTTGTGTGGCTCAGCTAAAATCCAAACCTGGGGTCTCCATCATCTGAGATCTTAACCTCTCCGCCTACCTTGCATCTACAGGTCAAGAGCTGTAGGGATGCTATGAACAGTGATGGGCCTTCTGGCGTATTGACATACGGACACGCATAGTCACACAGATCAAACAGCTGCCCTGTCTATGAGAGAAAAATGCACCTATACCAGTCCTTTGAGATTGGTATTCACCCATTTTATAGTTGAAGGAAATGAGGATTGGAACACATAATATGTATATAAGTATTTTAAATTAATATATTTAATTTAAAATAATTTTAAATTAATATATTTATGTACATATAAGTTCATTCATCCTTTCCAAATTGACTAATAATGACAATAATGAAAAACTTATTACCATTCATTCTTTTATATTCAATGCCTTTTGTTATTGAAACTCTGATAGTCTTAAAATAGCTCTTCTACATATAGTACAGGTCGTTTGTGGGGGCTGTGCAGAATGTTATTTATGCCTCATCAAGCTTCCTTAAATACTGAATGACAACACATTCATAGAAGGTAAATCTTGAATAGTGTGAAAAAGATTACAGACAATGTCCATATCTAACGGTATCAAATATTTCATTTTGGCTAATTTCCCTGGCTAAATTAAATTCTATATAGATCCTAAGTTTAGAAAACTTTGCAAAACATAATCTTTTATTTTTGCCCCCCAAATAATACCATTTGTTTCCCAGAGACTGTATTTTATACTCCCCACTAACATAGTCAGATTGATTTGTGCTTTCCTTTTAGATAGAAGAGCTTGAAAAGCAGTTAGTCCTTGCCAACTCAGAGCTAACCGAGGCACGGACAGAACGTGACCAGTTCAGTCAGGAATCTGGAAATTTGGATGATCAGCTTCAAAAGCTGTTGGTAAGACTATGCTCTAAATATGAATACGATTAATTCTGGGAAGTTCCTCACCAAAATATTTCACAAACTCGTTTTATTTATAAGATTACGAATTTTACATAATACTTGTGTATACATACACAATAGACTGTCTTGACATTATTCAAGTTTTGCGTATAAATAATATTCTAAACTTTACCTTTTTTTTTTTTTCCTTAAGCAGTGATAGCTTGTAAGTTAGGTGAAGCTAGTCTTCAAACGGCCCGTCTTTCAATTAGGTAAATGTGTTCGACTAAATTGAGGTAGTACTGTTTATTTTAAAGCCAAATAACATTTGAAACACAATTTGAAAGGAAGTTTAAGTAAAAAATTTTTTTTTAAAAAGGAAAGAAGATTCCATAATAGTGAAGCAGCCTGTGCCCTGTTAGAGGTACTAGAGGCTAAGAAATTTAGGAAAGGAAACTCTTGGCCCTCCTTTGTGTGATATTAGCGGTAGACTAGAATAAATTTCTCTTACCCCCAGCCCCTCCGCAGGGTGTAGCGTCCTCTGCTGGTGGAGCCGTCCTTCATAGGCTGTTGGGGCGTTTGAGGGGAAAGGGCTAAAGATAGAGCTGGCGACTGCGTGTGACAAGCTCCAAACCTTGGGATAATCCTTCACTTCTTTCCCTCCCACTGGGTGTTTCCTTGAGTCCTCAGATTGAATCTGAAAATCTTGCAGATTGTCTGAAAGACCCTGAAAGCCCCCCTCTCTTTTTCATCTTTACCGCCACTACTCCTCTATCCAAGCCCCTCATTAGACCTGGAGCAGGGCAGTGTCTCCTTACAAGGGTTCCTACCTCCAGTCTTTCCCCTCTTCAGTCTGGCCCATAAAGTGCTGTCATGCTCATCTTTCTAAAATATCACTCTGATTATGTCACTGTAATTCAAAAATTACATTCCCCGTAAAAGACTCCCTACCTTTCAACACTCTTCATGATCCAGCCCCAGTTTACTGTTCCAGTCCTTTCTCTCTACATATGCCCAACTAAACCACACAAACCCCTTTCCAGTCCCTTCTTACAGATCTCTGCACCTCCCAGCTGTTCGCGAAGGCCACTCAAATGCCTTCTCGAAGTATTTTGATCTCCTTAGTGATTTCTCTCTGCTGTTGCTTAGCTCTGTCTCTTTAATGAAAAATCACTTCCCGTTCTTTGTGTCTGTGTCCTACCTTTCCCTTTGGGTGATAGGTCCTTTGCAGATCTGTGTGTCTTTGTTTCTCCTACTCTATTTAGTTTTTGCTAACAGTAAACACTCACTATGTTTTTTTGTTTTGTTTTTTTTTTTTAGCTACTAAAGAGGGAGGTAATTCAATTCACAGCCAACCACTACTCCCCTCCCAATACCAAACACTATTCTGTCATTTCTGAAGCAGTTAACCACATTACTATTGCTATTCTTTCAAGCTTTTGAGCATTTCTTTATTACAGGAGCACACTTGATGCAAGGCATAATACCTTTGCTAGAAAGTCCAAAATTTAAAAACAGGATGACTTTAAAAATCTATTGTGTTTTTCTTTTCATTTTATTGTTTGGGGTCTAGTCCATTGAGATGTACTTGTAATGCAAGAAATTATAAGTAAGCAAAATGTTAACTTATTTATCTAGTAAATAATTGTTTTTAAGCCATTAAAAAGTAAGATTCCAAAGTCAGAGGCTTCTCAAATCACATAAAACCTCCAAAAATGATATAAGGAAAATAAGAGTTTTACTTTAATTATTTAATACAAGTTGGGGAACATACCTCACTTCTTCTAGGCTGATCTACATAAAAGAGAGAAGGAGCTGAGTCTGGAGAAGGAGCAGAATAAGCGTCTGTGGGACCGGGACACGGGCAACAGCATCACCATTGACCACCTGCGGCGGGAGCTGGACGACAGGAACATGGAGGTGCAGCGCCTGGAAGCCCTCCTCAAGGCCATGAAGAGCGAGTGTCAGGGCCAGATGGAACGGCAGGTCAGGCAGGACATGGACGGTTTCTCCCAATAGTGTCTTTAGAGGAAAAATGTATTTTATATGTTATTGGTAGAGTTTTTTTTTGAACATGTATGGGCCTAAAAATAACTTTGAGCAAGTTATAAAAACCTGTTATTTATTTCTATATTTTTGACCACTGATTAAATAAAATGTTCAGCTTCATCTCATTTTTGTTCATTGTTGAGTGATGAAATTGCCATCCAATTGCCTTTTGGTTTTCACCTAGAAATTGGTAACCTAATAGTCGCTTATTTCAGAAAAGCATCAAGCCATAGGAGATCTGAGGAACAGCAAGGTAGAAGGTTTCCAACAGATGTTTTTTTTGGTTTTGGTTTTCCCCCAAACTAATTGAGACTGATAGGAACACAAAATGGATGCAGTCCATTTTAGTGCACCAGTGGCAAAATGTGGAATGCTTTATTAACAGCCCTGAACCTTAAGTACGGAAAGGACACAGGTCCGATGCTAGGTATTGCCACAGAGACATAAACAGCATTCCACAAAAGAGTAAGCTTCCCAAAATGTGAAAGCAAACCAGAGGGACCAGTCTTGACTTAGAATCCAGGCAAACCACTTTGCTACTCTTCAGCCCAACCTGGGCAAGAAGAAAGGTGAGAGGAGCAACTGGGAGTTAGATTCTTACTCTTTTCTGGAAAAGGACCTGAGAATGTGAGTGTGTGTTGGATAAAAGCCATTACTCACTTTTCTCTCAGAGGTAGAATTAAGGGGCAAGTTGGACGGAAATAGGAAGAGCAGCTTCTTCAGTCTTGTCATACTTCTCCCTATCCTAATTTAAGTTGGTACAGAAAACACCCTCAGAGGAAACTTCCCAAGCTCCCACACTAGAACGCCATTCTAGAGGAGTATTATTATTTAATTAATGTCTCTCCACCTTGGTCTAATTAACTTAAGTGGGTCTGTGGTCTGTACAGATACCTGACAGCAAAACGATTTGAGTTAGTCTAAGTGATACCAGATTCATGATTTCATGTTTGTGAGCTACCTTGTTAAACTCTTGAGGTTGCCTCTACCTATCTGCCCAAATCCATGAAATTTTCTTTTCTTCAACACTCAGATGGCAGCAATTCAGGGAAAGAATGAAAGTCTAGAAAAAGTGTCCTCCTTGACTGCTCAGCTTGAATCCACCAAAGAGATGCTCCGCAAAGTGGTGGAAGAGTTGACCGCCAAGAAGATGACCCTGGAGAGCTCAGAGAGGACTGTATCGGACCTGACCGCTTCGCTCCAGGAAAAAGAGAGAGCCATTGAGGCTACCAATTCAGAGATCACAAAGCTGCGCTCCCGGGTGGACTTGAAATTGCAGGAGCTACAGCACTTGAAAACAGAGGGAGATCACCTCAGAAACGTGCAGACCGAGTGTGAGGCCCTCAGGCTACAGATGGCAGAGAAGGACAAGGTGATCGAGATTTTGCGACAGCAGATTGAAAACATGACACAGCTGGTTGGCCAGCATGGACGAACTGCTGGCGCCATGCAAGTAGAAAAGGCTCAGCTCGAGAAGGAGATCAATGATAGGAGACTGGAGCTACAGGAATTCAAGGTCTGTAGAGGGTTTTTTTGGCAGCTTAGCTTCTGCAATATCTTTCCCCTCAGGAGGAAGTTGACTTAAGTCACTGAAGATGGGCTCTGTGAAGATGGTCTGTGGACCCCAGAGATTGAAAGTATCTGTGCATCTGTGTGTTTTTGTGAGAAAGGATCCCTACTTTTGTTAGATTCTGAAAGGAGTGGGTGGCCCCAAAATGGTTCAGGACTACTGATACGAAAGAGAAAAAATCAGAAAATCCAGTTTCCCCAGAAGTCATTTCTGATCCCACAGTTTGAAGTATTTTCTCCCTCTCTGGACAGACCTCTCATTGAATCCCATCTCTCACCACTCAGTGACTGTAAAACACTGCATTGTTGGCTCAGTCTTGGCTTCCATATCTGTGGAAAAAAAGAACAGTTAACATAGTCATATTAGTTGCAGGTGTACAAGATAGCGATTCCACACTTCCATACAACACCGACTTGGACTTGGACACATAGCATAGAGAAGACGCCCATCTTCAACAGGTGTTGGCAAGGAAGTGGAGAAAAAGGAACACTCAGGGTCCCTGGGTGGCTCAATCAGTTAAACATCTGACTGTAGATTTTGGCTCAGGTCTTGGTCTCACGTCGTGAGTTCAGGCCCTGCATTGGGCTCTATGCTGGGTATGGAGCCTACTTTTTTAAAAAAAAAAAAAGGAATACTTATGCACTGTTGGTGGGAGTGCAGCCACTGCAAGAGCACTCTTACCTTCACCCCCACCACTGTTTATGCTTCACACAGGAGCCAGAGTTATATTTTAAAGTGTTACATTTTATCACTCCCATATTCAAAACTCTCCAGTGGCTTCCTATCTCACTCAGGATGAACTTTCACATCCTTACATTGCCTCTGAGGCCAGTCTTGCCCATGGCTCCCTCCCTGATTTCATCTCTGACTACTTCCTCCCCATTCTCAGTCCACTCCAATGTAGAGGAGGAGAAATCCTTCTTCCTCTGTCTTTCTAAATTCTCAGTAACCAAGACATCAACAAGAGAAGAGCAAAGAAGTTTATTAATATATCTCATAGGGGGGTGCATGGGTGGCTCAGTTGGTTAAGCGTCTGCTTTGGCTCAGGTCCTGATCCCGGAGTCCCAGGATTGAGCCCCACTTCAGGCTTTCTGCTCGGTGGGGAGTCTGCTTCTCCCTCTGATTCTCCCATCTCTATATATCTCTCTCAAATAAATCAATCTTAAAATCAATCAATCTCATATATACAAGGGAGAAACCCAGGGAAATGAGTAACTCAGGTGGCTTAGAAGTCAGGCTTAAATACCATCTTTAGCTGAAAGGAGGATGTGGAGAGGCAAGTCATGGAAGGTGACCAGGAAAACTATGGATAAAGGAATGAGGTTTGTTTTGCAGATTTAAGCCATGCTTTCCCCATTGATAAGTTTCTCTCATAATTTAGAGTCATCCTTCCTTTCCTGGTCAGAGAGGGAGACATCCTTATAAATGGAGACTTCCTTTATAAGTATAAGTACCCCTTAAAGGGTACCTTCTGTTTTCAGACCTTCTCCTCTGTCTGCTATTTCTCAAAATAATCAGCTCAAAATAATCCTAATGCCAAAGAGGCATGTTTGGGGTAGCATATTCTGATTTCCACCAGCCATTCTGATGGACTTGCTCTTCCCTGAACACATTACCTGTGCCTAGGGCTGTCCCCGAGCCTGTCACGTGGCTTGCTCCTTTACCTCCCTCTTTGAGGTTTCTGCTCAGCAGAGAGGGTCAGGGTCCCCAGGACTACCCACAGGTTCAGCCATTTGCTAGGACGACTCAGAACTCAGCATATAGTTATGCTCACGGGTACAATTTATTACAGTGAAATAATGTAAAGCAAAATCAGCAAAGGGAAAAGGTACATGGAGGAAGCTAGGCACAGGCTTCCAAAAGTCCTCTCCTGCAGAGTCGTGCAGGATATACTTCACTCGCCCAGCAACAATCTATGACAGTACATGTCACATGTTCCTGACCAGGAAGCTCATTAGAGACTCAGTCCCCACGGTTTTTATACTGGAGACTGGTCACACCGATACCCATTGCCTGACAACTATTCCAGACTTACAGAAGGAAAGCAGGTGCTCGGCATAAATCATTTTGACTGCAGAACTGGTTTAGGTACAGTGAGCTACTCTTATCAGTTGGAGTGGTGGGAACCCTCCCAAATCCAAGTTCCCAGAAACCAGCCAAGGGCCAACCTCTTTGCAGGCTTTAATAAGAATAGCAGTTGGGCTCTTTTCTACATACCAACTGACCTCTTACATGCAGAGCCCCTCCCCTGCATTCATCCTCCACCCCCCACCTTCTTTTATTCTTTGTTTTGGTCACTTATTATTACCTATTAAATATTTGTTGTTGTCTGTGTCCTCTCACTGGAATGTAAGCCCCCTGGGGACAATGACCGAGCTTCCTGCTACTCATGCCTGGGACAGGGTAAGGTTAGTGAGGCACCTAGGACTCAGAGCTCAGGGAGGCGCTCACCTGGGGCCTCACTTGCCTCACCCCAGTCCCTGCCCTGCTGCTCTATCCCAAAATGTAAAATAGTGCCGGGCACAGAGTAGGTGCTCAGTACCTTTCTCTTTGAAATGAAAAAAAAAAAGAATAGGAATAATGAGTTATTGCAAACAATACTGGAAATTGACATCTAAGGTTAAAGAAAGGTAAAGTATTCCATTTGCTTTCCCATTTACTCTTGAGGCTTTATAATAAAATAGAAATTTAATATTCTAGGAAATAGTGAAAAGATATTAAATACAAAGAGGATACTAATACAATGTCCACTATAAGTATTTGTACATATTTTTTTTTTTACTTCTTACTCTGTCCTTTGTATTTATCCCTATATCTAGATTTTAAAAGATAAAAAAGATGCAAAGATACGGGAGCTTGAGGCCCGAGTGAGTGACCTGGAGCTGGAAAAGGTGAAGCTGGTTAATGCAGGCTCTGAGAGGCTCCGTGCAGTGAAGGACATCAAACAGGAGAGAGATCAGTTATTAAATGAGGTGAAAACTAGTAGGAGTGAGTTAAACAGTCTTACAGGTATGTTACTTCAGTTCAAATTCTGCTGACAACTCAGAGCACTGCCAGTGAAGTCCAGCATGGATGCTAGGACTGTTGCAAAAAATGGCCACTCATCCCACATCATAAACAGGGAGAATTATGCTGCCCCAAAATCCTGCTTCTGCTTAGAGAGCTCCCATATCTTACACTCATTAACTGTTAATTTTAGTCAACCCTCAGAGTCCATGAAATTCTTTACTGAGTTGTTTTTTTTTTTTTTAAGATTTATTTATTTATTTTAGAGAGAGAGTGCAAGCTTGTGTGTGTGTGTGTGTGTGTGTGTTTAGGGGGAGAGGCACAGGGAGAGAAGTAGACTCCCCGCTGAGCACAGAGCCCACCAGGTGGCTCCAGTCTCACAACCCCAAGATCATGACCTGAGCTCAAACCAAGAGTCAGACGCTTAACTGACGGAGCCACCTGGGCACCCCTTTTTATTGAGTTTTCAAGAAACGGGTGAAGGAAGTGGACACCTTGGGTCCTTTGGGTCAGTTAGCTTGATTAGAGGTTTCATAATGAAGCAACATGTATAAACAGACTTGTGTAGATTTCTTGAAAAATCAGTTAAGATCAATTAAGATCTTAGATTTAAAAACAAGTTCTAGTTCACGATTGGTGTGGTGCGGGTATCATTTACTACACACACACACACACACACACGCACGCACGCACGCACGCACATACACACTGTCAAGGATTCCTGAGCATTTACTAGGCCAGATACTGCGATAGGCCCTAGAAACACAACAGTGAGGTTCCCGGCTAGCGGGGAGCCAGACCTCTATAGAACAGGTCACAGGAAGTGGGTTGAGGCACAGTGTGCTGGGTGCAATTGGAGGAGAGTGTAGACAATCAGTCTCCTATAGGATTCACACCTCCTCTGCTAACTTTGAAGAAAGAAAGGGATTTGGCAGGTAAAAAAGAGGTGGAAGGGCAACCCAGGCAGAGAGAACATTATGGGCAAAAGCACAAGGCATGAAATAACAATGTAAGCTCAGAAGTATGTGAGTAAAAGTGCAAAGGAACAAGGGCCAAGAAATGAGGCAGAGTAGATAGGCAGAGCCAGACAGTGCGGAGCCAGCAAAGACATTAAGTAGGAGATTATTGTCATCAAATTTACATTTTGAAAGGACAGTGTCGGCAGGTAAATAGAGAAAGGCAAGACTATAGGGCCAGAGGCCAGCCAGTTAAAGAGGGTGTTGCAATGGCCCCAGGGAGCCATGAAAACTTGAACAAAGGCAGTGGCAGTGAGAATGAGAGAAAAAATTAAGAGTATTTTGATGATTGAACAACAGTACTTTGTGATTGGAGGAGTTGTGTGTGGCCTTCAGGTTTTAGGTCTGTGGTATTGGGAGAACAGTGGTCACCAACGACTGAGAGAGGGAAACCATTAGGAGGGGCAGGCTTGAGGGCGGGAGGGTAAGATATAGCCAGTATGAGATGGTTGGTGTGGGTGGTTCACATGGAAATGTCTGGGTAGACAGTTACATCTCAGCAAAGAGGTCTTGGCTCTGTTTGTTCCCTTTGTATATATAAATCTATCATATATATAAATATATAAAAAGGTAAGTAGGTGTGTGTGTGTTTTTGTATAGAATGATGAATACACGCCAAGTATTTTAATAATTACTAGAAATAAAAAGAACACATGGCAACCTCAGGTTATCATGTCTTGGAGCTTCACCTACCTACAGATGGTGGTGAGATCTGTTGTGGTACATATGACCACCCAAGAAAGATGCAGTTCATGTGAGCCAATTACACTGGCTGGAAAAAATCAGTGAAGAGTAAAAGGAGAGTAAAATGTGACTGTACATCTAATTTCTATAACAGATGATGATGTAGATAAATGAAGTCTCTTCCAGCTCTGAAATTCTGTGATCATTAATTACAAATAAAATACACTTCATACAACGAGATAGACAAAAGTAACCATCTATTATTATCACATGGTACAGAGGACTATGAAGTCTTAAAAAGGAATTTTCGAAACAAAACTGAAGAAATGGAAGCTACTACAAATAAACTGAAAATGCAATTAAAATCTGCACAGTCTGAACTTGAACAAACAAGAAATACATTAAAGTCAATGGAAGGATCCGATGGTCATGGTATGCTTTGCTGGATTTTATTCTTCTGTTTTTAATTCCATTGGTCTAGACTTATTAAAACATAAACCTGGATACATCGCCTGCCACCTCTCTCAGGTGCCACCCGATGTGAGAGATACACAGTGACAGGCACCAATGATGGGTGTTAGATAGCAGTCGTTCTACTCAGGGTTTTTTAGGGAAAATGCCATGTGCTTAATATAATCCCTAAAGTATCTGAGTTTTTCCTGTGGCTGTTTCAGTAATTTCTAACAGATCTCAATGTCTGTAAGTGCCAATTAATTATTCTTAAGGAAGTGTTGATAAAAATACAAATTACCAATGATTTTCCCTTATTTTTCACATGTTCGTTATCCACACAAACTATAAATTTGTGGTTAATTGTCAGTTCCTGACTCTTTCTCTGCAATAAAAATGGGATGAAGCCCTGGGAATTCAACTGCCAGGATGAGTGGTCCCTTGTCACCACTTAGACCTGTTCCCTTTGTCCCTTGCTGCCCATATTAATTCTAACAGAGAAGGTTATCTGCTGTTTTATATTATTCATATTGTTGTTGGTATGGCTATATTAGCTGGCTATAAGAATAAATATTAATCTAAGTAAAGTCTATATTTTTTTATTTCTCAATATTTTTTAATGTCAAAAGATTTATTTCTGTGCCTGCTTCAGCAGCACATATACTAAAATTGGAACCATTCAGAGAAGATTGTGGCCCCTGTCCAAAGGCCACACACAGATTCTTGAAGCATTCTGTATTTTGTGCAGTTCTTGCAGGTTCAGCTCTTTCTTTGCTGGTTAACACCAAGAAAATGGTGGGGTTTGGAGAGGTCACTCAGGAGGCCCATTTGGGGTCTGTTCCCTCCCCCCACCACCAGAGAGAGTCCTTTCCTCAGTGCCCTCCAGGCATTCCGACCACAGCCCCAGTCACATTACAGTGATTAAATTAACTAGGTAAACCTGTGTTTGCATTCAAATGCTTATTTTTATTAATTAAAATTATCTTAAAATAAGAGAGATTTAAGAAATAAGCTTTGAAGGCCAGCCATGATGCACTTAATGAGACCAGAGTTCTTCTGAGTGCTTGAATGAGGTGACTGATGAGCGAATGATGTCAGACTGTCGCTCTGTTAATAAAGCCCTGTGCTCTGCCTAATCAGCCCTGTTTTGACAGCTAGAGGAACTGAATCTTGTTAGCAAGAAGTCAGACCTTTCATCCTCTCTGATAGTTTGTTTCTAAAGAATAGTACATTTTCTCTTTTTAACCTCTAAGCGCTATTTGGATCTGACTCAAAGCCATGGCATTTTCAAATCTCTTTCCTCAGCTACCTGTGGGAAACAACACTGGGTCTCTGGCTTTGAATTTCCAAGCAAGGGTGAGCTTCATAGATCTTTTCAATGACCTGCCATGTCTGAAGTATTCGGTGCCTCCTACCTGCTTTGAACATTCTCATTCCATCACTAGTTTTACTAAAATAATTCCATATATATGCTTATGCTGCCAAAAATGACTGTTGAAATAGTAGTGAGTGCCAAACACATGCAATAACCATGGGAATAAAAACTGAATGGTTTGTGGTATCACTGGAATCTTTAAAAAGATCACTTAATAATAGATGTCTTACACAGTCACTTATGACATGTTTATAGGATATATAAACAAATAAGAGATGTCTTTGGTATTTTAAATATGAATTTCTAGAAAATTATTTTAGTAAAAATATTACATATGTTTGTCATTATATGACTATGTTTATGTATATGTTTTCTATATGGGTAGGTATGAATTTGATCAGTATTCTATAACCATGGGAGATAGGGCAAATTATGATAGTCAATGAAATTAATACCAATAGGAAGGAAATCAAAACATCAATCTCAGCTCAACATCTCTGAGTAATTGCTGAAAATTGTTATATCCCAATACTGTGAAATCTGAAGACCTTTCTCCATGATCACTCTCTTGAAACTGTCCAAGTGCCTTGGAGAATCTTGTCGCCTTCTCATAATGTTTAACCATCAATTTATAGTAGCCTCTCAAAATTTAGAAATCTTAAAAACTAAGGCAGTTTACTTCCTTTTTTTCCCCCAGCTATGAAAGTGGCAATGGGGATGCAAAAGCAAATCACAGCTAAAAGAGGTCAAATAGATGCTCTTCAGAGCAAGATACAGTTTTTGGAAGAGGCAATGACAAATGCAAATAAGGTAAGTACCTGTCCTCAGAGTGGAGGAAGCCAATCTGTTCACTCTTTAATAGGAGAAGACAGAGGAGTTACAAAGTACAACAGAGACATGAGGTTATTTCTAACCAAGAGAATGAGGGAAAAGCTCCTGAAGGAACATTTGAGTAGGATCTTGAAAGAGCTAGTATTTTAAATGCAGAAAATGGGCAAAAGGACGTTCCTGGTAAAGACAGGAAATGATTTTATGTGACGTATGTGTTCTTAAAGTCACTGTGCTCTGCCAAACTGTGCAGTACAAGCCCCGGGGGTGCTGAGAACAGTGGGATTAGGAGCACCCCACTAACAGATTTCATCAGTGACATAAAAAAATAGGAACGGAATGAAAATGGTAGCAGTTTTACACATGTCAATGTTAAATGATGAAGAATACATAAATACTACAATAAATATGGTCCTTTAACTTGAAAAAGACCTGAAGTTTGCTTGTGGAAGTGTGCATCAGAGGGTTGCGGCTTGTGAGGTATTATAAGGGGGCAAGAGGGGGGTTTTCTGTAACACCAGATGTGCGTGGATGTGAATCCTAAAACAAGGTAAACTGAGGTAGCGGTAGATGGGTGTTTGAAGAGTGTGCATGTATGCTTTTTGTGTATTCCTACACAGCTCTGTTTAGCTGGGCGCAGTTTTGTGTTGACTTAGTATAAATGAAACTGTACATAACAAGTGTGAAATCGGTTTTGTGCTCAGACGTTCTCTGATACATCAGTCACTTTGGAACAATTTTCAAAAGAAGTTACATCAGAACTGACTGTACGGAGGTGAAGCAGTAACGAGCTTGCGTAGAAGACAGGTGCAGCTCAAGTTAACTGCTTTCCCCATGCCCCACAGGAGCTGCTGACAGCCTTTAGAGTGAGGCTAAACAGTCCCGATATGGACAAACGCATGTGTTTGGGCAGACCCCTCGTCATAGGGACTTAGTTATTTCCGTTTTAGGGTTCTTTCCTATTTTTTTCTTCCCTCCTTTTCTCTTATCCTAAATTTGTTTTTTTCTTTTTCTTCTCCCATTATTTGCCCATTTGGGACGTAAAGCAGTGCTTATCCTCATCCTCCCTGGGGAATCTTAGGGCATAAGAGGTCACTGCCTGCTGTCATCACAGGTGCCTGTCCCCACCCAGAGGAAGGGATTCATCAAAACCCATGGACATCCCCTTCAAACAGAAAGGAGACAACTTGTAAAATTAATCTTTCTTTCTGAAGCCTTTTCTGTCTAACTAATCAGAAAAAACAATTATTTCCATCCAAAAGGTTTATTACAGTGGCAATACCATCTACCTTTTTTACATTAAACATTTTCTTGAAGAAAGAAATATATAAAGAAATACAGACTCAGTAAGTTGAGGTAACTTGACTACTGTGCATTTCTTTTTGTCTCCCTATCTCATGATGCTTTTTTAAAGGAACGTGCACAAATTTTAATGAAATTTTGTTGAATACCGAAGGCTCTCCAGAAGTATATCAATAAGCTCATTCTTATCACTGGGCCTTGAGGGCAGGAACTGTGTGTCCCATCTTTTTAGGGTCTGCAGTAGGCATTTATGAAATGAATATTCAACCTTAAAATAGAAGCCCACAAAGCTTTCAAATAAAACATCTTCTTTAAATCTCTTTTGTCATTTTAAACAAATTACAATAAAATTTAGTGTATGATTACTCAATCTCAATTCACCATAATGCCGTGTCTTTTTATGCAGCATAGTTATTACATGTTTTGTAGGTTTTATCAAAGATTTAATAAGCCTAAGAAGAAGTAATAATACCAGTAGTGATAAAAATAAAAGAGTACATGGTAACAATTCTAATAGCTCCCAGCTCCAACTCAAATGCAATTAAATGGCATATGAATTAAACTATAGTTCAGGTCTTTATAAAGTTTCATATTTCCATCACATCTGAGCATCTATGTCAGCATATTATTTCTGATATTTTTTCCTCTGTAATTATAGGAAAAGCATTTTCTAAAAGAAGAAAAGAATAAATTGAGCCAGGAACTGAGTACAGTTGCAACAGAAAAAAACAAGATGGCTGGAGAGCTGGAGGTCCTGAGATCCCAGGAACGCCGTTTGAAAGAAAAGGTTGCTAATATGGAAGTAGCTCTTGATAAGGTAGTTATTAACCAAACGTGTAATTATCAGCTAAATAGCTATGAAGTAGACTTGTTCTGAATAAAAGCTCCATGTTGATAGGAACCAAATCTCTATTACATCACAATCACCTGGCACAAGGAAAAACCGCATCCTATGGAGAAGGCTCTTCTAAGCTTTAAAACATAGTTATAATGCATACATTTTACAAAATTCTCTTTTTCAGGCTAATACAGTCACAGGAGCGGTAAGATATGAGATGTAAGATGCTCCTGATGTCCTTAGTGGACTGAATAAATTAAAATGTCTCCAGTCTAACTTACTGCCACAGAATGACTTGGACACTAGGTAGAATACAGTCTGTTAATGATATCAATAAAATGATAGCATAATTCTACTGTCTGACATTTGTTGGGGTCCAGAAAATGCAGGCAGAAAACACAGCTTAAAGAATGAGAAGGATTAATGACCCTGGATTTGTAATTGCCATTTATCATAGAGGAATAAATCTTTCTTGTCACCTGAGAACTCTGGAAGGCTAAAAATGTACCCAGACTAGTCCTTGATTCTTAAGAAATCAGAGCCTTTATGGTTAGGTAGAATGACCTGTGATCCCTCCTATGTCAACTTTGATTTTAAAACATGAGATATTGATTCAATGAATTTCAGTTGTTATTTCTCTGTATATTTTTCTTATATTGCTAAAGCTGTTTGCTCATTTCATCCTTAGCTTCTTCATTCTCTTGAATGCCTTTCATGTACTAAATGCTGTGTAGATGCTGGGGACACAGAGAATAAAGATGGCCTCCAATCGTTCTAAGTTTACTGAATAAAATAAATTAATAGACAAATGCAAGTTAGTGTGCTAAGAGTGGGGGAAGTTCCCTTGAAGAGATGGCAACTTGGTATTTATAGATTATTAAAATAAAATTGTATAGAGAATGGAGGATAAACCACATGTGGTTGCTTGATCGTAGGCATCTTTGCAGTTTGCAGAATGTCAAGATATCATACAGCGTCAGGAACAAGAATCTGTGCGCCTAAAACTTCAACACACTTTGGATGTAAAAGTGAGGTCTTTTTTTTTTTTCATCATAGTTTAAGCAAAAAATAATGCCATTCTTTAATATACTTATATATTTCCTTCCTGTGCCTTAGATACATTCAAGTGTACTTTCAACATTATCTGATACTAGCAATTACAGAATCTGTATAAACATCCTTACATGCTATACCTATCCTTTTCCTACGGTAACAAATTGAAGCACCATACTCCGAATTAAGTTTATAATAAGAGAGGCAAACACCTTCTTCAGGAATGCCTTGAGGCTACCTGAAAGAAGAACTTTATATACAGAAGTGGGTCAAGCAAGTGCAAAGCCCCGACATGCAAGCGTGTGTAGCTTGTTTGGAGAATAGCAAAAATGATTTAATCTGCAAGACAGAAACATGTGTTCTTTAAAAATGGTACATTTTCCATTGAAATATATGTCTATGTTGCAAATATATTTTAAAGCTTCAGACATTCATTAAAGTCTTAGTAATAGATACTTTCACAGGCTAGAGCACTCATAGTTGTAGAGGATTTTTCTCAGTAGTTAGCCAGAACTGCCGTGGAGTCTGGCAAAAACTAGGAACCAGTTTACTGGCCCACCATCCAAGGTGTTTTCATGCCTCAAATGCTTTTTACAGTTAGCAGTGTGAAGGCATCTCCCTAAGCATATGCTTCGTCTTCAAAGAGTAACTTAGAAGCATCTCGCTTGATACCTAGGTTTCTGACCTTGTAGATGTTCAGCACCTGAGACTGAGATTATTTTTGCAAAATACACTTGATTTCACAATTCTAGGTGTAGGTCAACAATTGCTTTTGCTTCCATCTGTATTGCTTTCTAGGAACTTCAGGGCCCTGGATACACCTCAAATACTTCTGTGAAACCTCGCGTTCTACAGCCATCCTCAGCTGTGCGTTCTCATTCTAACGTACCGTCATCCCAGTCCACAGCCAGCTTCCTGTCTCATGTAAGCAACTAGTCTCATAATCCCTGAGGCAAATGACCTAATATGCAAATAATTTTAAATTGAGAAGAACTTCATTGAAAAAGACATCTGTAGTTATGACATTTTCAATTACTAGATTTTAGATTTATACAGACCAGATGAGTGAAAATGTTTACTTCACTATTTGGTGTTTCCTCTGGGGAAGACAGATGAAATAGTCAGTGGGATTAATGTTAACAATAATTGGGGGTTTTTAAGTTTTCATTTTAATTCCAGTGTGTTAACATACAGTGTTCTATTAGTTTCAGGTGACAATATAGTGATTCAGCACTTCCATACATCACCTGGTGCTCATCACAAGTGACCTCCTTAATCTCCATCACCTATTTAACCCATCTCCACCCCCCCACCCTGGTAGCCACCAGTTTGTTCTCTATAGTTAAGGGTTTGTTTCTTGATTTGTCTGTCTCTCTTTTTTTCCCTTTGCACATTTATTTTGTTTCTTAAATTGCACATAGGAAATCATATGGTATTTGTCTTTCTCTGACTGATTTTCACTTAGCATTATAGTCTAGCTCCATCCATATTGTTGCAAATGGCAAGATTTCATTCTTTTTGTGGCTGTGTCATATCCCATTGTGTGTGTGTGTGTGTGTGTGCATTGATTTTTGTATCCTGAAAATTTACTGAATTTGCTTGTCAATATATATATATAAAACTTCTTTATCCATACATCAATTGATGGCCATCTGGGCTGCTTCCATTTCTTGGCTATTGTAAATAATGCTGCTATAAACATAGGGGTGCATGTATCCCTTTGAATTAGTGCTCTTGTATTCTTTAGGTAAATACCTAATAGTGCAATTGCTGGATAATAAGGTAGTTCTATTTTTAACTTTTTGAGGAACCTCCATGCTGTTTTCCACAGTGGCTGCAGCAGTTTGCATTCCTACCAGCTGTGTATAAGTGTTCCTTTTTCTCCATATCCTCACCAACACCTGTTGTTTCTTGTGTTGATTGATTTTAGCCATTCTGACAGGTGTGAGGTGATATCTCGTCGTTTTGATTTATATTTCCCTGATGATGAGTGATGTTAGGCATTTTTTCATGTGTCTGTTGGCCATTTGGATGTCTTCTTTGGAGAAATATCTGTTCATGTCCTCTGCCTGTTTTTTCATTGGATTATTTGGTTTTGGGGTGTTGAGTTGTATAAGTTCTTTATATATTTTGGACACTAACCCTTTATTAGATATGTCATTTGCAAATATCTTCTCCCACTCAGTAGGTTGCCTTTTAGTTTTGTTGATTGTTTCCTTCGCTGTTCAGAAGCTTTTTATTTTGATGTAGTCCTGATAATTTATCTTTGCTTTTGTTTCCCTTGCCTCAGGAGACATATCTAGAAAAAAGTTGCTTTGGCTGATGTTAAAGAAGTTACTGCCTATGTTCTCTTCTAGGATTTTTATGGCTTCAGCTCTCACATTTAGGTCTTTAATCCATTTTGTGTTTATTTTTGTGTGTGGTGTAAGAAAGTGGTCCAGTTTCTTTCTTTTGTATGCTGCTGTTCAGTTTTCCCAACACCACTGGTTGAAGAGACTGTCTTTTTCCCACTGGATATTCTTTCCTGCTTTGTCGAAGATTAATTGACCATATAGTTGTGGGTTTATTTCTGGGCTTTCTGTTCTGTTCCATTGATCTATGTGCCTATTTTTGTCCCAATACCATACTGTTTTGATCACAACAGCTTTGTAATATAACATGAATGCCAGAATTACGATGCCTCCAGCTTTTCTTTTTCAAGATTGCTTTGACTATTTGGGGTTTTGTGGTTCCATACAAATTTTAGGATTGTTCGTTCTAGTTCTGTGAAAAAAATGCTGTTGGTATTTTGAAAGGGATTGCATTAAATGTGTAGACTGCTTTGGGTAGTACAGATATTTTAATAGTATTTGTTCTCCCAATCATGAGCATGGAATTTCTTTCTATTTCTTTGTGTTGTCTTCAATTTCTTTCATCAGTATTTTATAGTTTTCAGAGCAAAAGTTCCTTTCACCTCTTTGGTTAGGTTTATTCCTAGGTATCTTATTATTTTTGGTGCAACTGTATATGAGATTGTTTTCTTAATTTCATTTTCTGCAGCTTCATTATTGGTGTTTAGAAATGCAACAGATTTCTGAGCATTGATTTTTGTATCCTGAAAATTTACTGAATTCGCTTGTCAATTCTAGCAGTCTTTTGGTGGAATCTTTCAGGTTTTCTCTATATAGTATCATATCTGCAAATGGTCAAAGTTGTACTTCCTTCTTACTGATTTGGAGGCCTTTTATTTCTTTTTGCTGTCTGGTTGCTGTGGAAGTCAAAGACTTCCAATACTATGTTGAATAAAAGTGGTGAGAGTAGATATCCTTGTCTTGTTCCTAACCATAGAAGAAAAGCACTCAGTTTTTCCCCATTAAGGATGATGTTAATTCTGGGTCTTTCATCTACAGCCTTTATTATGTTGAGGTATGTTCCCTCTAAATCTACTGTATTGAGGGTTTTTATCATGAAGGCATATTGTACTTTGTCAAATGCTTTTCTTACATTTTTTAAATGATTGTATGGTTCTCATCCTTTCTCTTATTGATATGATGTATTGTGGTTATTGATTTGTGAATGTTGAACTACCCTGGCAACCCAGGAATAAATCCTACTTGATCATGGTGAATGATTTTTTTAATGTATTGTTGGATTTGGTTTGCTAGTATTTTGTTGAGGATTTTTGCATCTATGTTCCTCAGGGATATTGGCCTGTAGTTCTCTTTTTTAGTGATGTATTTATCTGGCTTTGGTATCAGGGTAATGCTGGCCTCATAGAGTGAATTTGGAAGTTTTCCTTTTCTATTTTTTGGAGTAGTTTGAGAAGAAGTAGTTAATCAAAAAAGTTTGATTAACTTTTCTTTAAATGTTTGGTAGAATTCACCTGTGAAGCATCTGGTCCTGGGCTTTTATTTGTTGGGAGTTTTTTGATTACTGATTTAATTTCTTTGCTGGTTATCAGTTTGTTCAAATTTTCTATTTCTTCCTCTTACAGTTCTGGTAGATTATATATTTCTAGGGATTTATCCATTTCTTCTATGTTGTCCAATTTTTTGGCATATAGTTTTTCATAATATTCTCATAATTGTTTGTATTTCCGTGGTGTTGGTTGTTATTTCTCCTCTCTCATTTGTGATTTAATTATTTGAGTCCTTTCTCTTTTTTTCTTGGTAAGTCTGGCTAGAGGTTTTTCAGTTTTAATCTTTTTTTTTTTTCAAAGAACCAGCTCCTGGTTTCATTGATCTGCTCTATTGTTTTTTTAGTTTCTATATCATTTGTTTCTGCTCTAATCTTTATTTTTTTCCTTCTTTCTGGCTTTAGGCTTTGTTTGTTGTTCTTTTTCTAGCTCCTCTAGGTGTAAAATGAAGTTGTTTGTTTGAATTTTTCTTGCTCCTTGTGGTAGGCCTGTATTGCTATAAACTTCCCTCTTAGAACTGCTTTTGCTGCATCCCCAAAGGGTTTTGGACCATTGTGTTTTCATTTTCATTTTGTTTCCATATACTTCTTTATTTCTTCTTTATTTTTTTAATTTTTATTTTTTTAAAGATTTTATTTATTTATTTGAGAGAGGGAATGAGATAGAGAGAGCATGAGAGGGGGGAGGGTCAGAGGGAGAAGCAGACTCCCCGCTGAGCAGGGAGCCCGATGCGGGACTCGATCCCGGGACTCCAGGATCATGACCTGAGCCAAAGGCAGTCGCTTAACCAACTGAGCCACCCAGGCACCCTCTTTATTTCTTCTTTGATTTCCTGGTTGACCCAGTCATTGTTTAGTAGCATGTTATTTAACCTCCATGTGTTTGTGGTCTTTCCAGATTTTTTCTTGTGGTTGACTTCTAGTTTCATAGTGTTGTGGTCAGAAAATGTGCATGGTATGACTTCAGTCTTCTTGAATTTGTTGAGGCTTGTTTTGAGGCCTAATATGTAATCTATTCTGAAGAATGTTCCATGTGCCCTTGAAAAGAATGTGTATTCTGCTATTTTAGGATGGAATGTTCTGAATATATCTGTTAAATCCATCTGTTCCAGTGTGTCATTCAAAACCATTGTTTCCTTGTTGATTTCTGTTTGAATGATCTGTCTATTGATGTAAATGGGGTGTTAAAGTCCTCTACTAATCGGTTAGGTCCTTTATGTTTGTTATTAACTGTTTTATGTATTTGGCTGCTTCTATGTTGGGTGCATAAATATTTACAATTGTTAAATCTTCTTGTTGAATTGTCCCCTTTATTATTATATAGTGTCCTTTGTCTCTTGTTATAGTCTTTGTTTTAAAATCCATTTTTTCCAGGGCGCCTGGGTGGCTCAGACAGTTGAGTGTCTGACTCTTGATTTCAGCTTGGGTCATGATCTCAGGGTCATGGGGTTGGGCCCCACATCATACTCCATGCTGGGCATGGAGCCTGCTTGGGATTCTCTCTCTCCTTTTCCCTCTGCCCCTCCCCCCCATTCATGCTTGCTTTCTCTCTTTCTCTCAAATGAATCAATGAATGAATGAATGAATGAATGAATGAATGAATGAAATTTGTTTTGTCTGGTAATAAGTATTGCTACTCTAGCTTTCTTTTGACATCCACTTGCATGATAGGTATTTCTCCATACCCTCATTTTTCAATCTGCGGGTGTCTTTAGGTCTAAAATGAGTCTCTTGTAGGCAGCATATAGATAGGTCTTGTTTTTTTAATCCATTCTGTCACCTTGTCTTTTGTTTGGAGCACTTAGTCCATTTACATTCAAAGTAATTATTGGTAGATATGTATTTATTATCATTTTATTATTTGTTTTGTGGTTGTTCCTGAAGATTTTCTCTGATTCTTTCTTGTCTTTCTTTCATGGTTTGCTGGTTTTGGATTTGTTTCTCTTTATTCTTTGCATATTTATTAGTATTTATTGGTACACAGTTACTATCAGGTTTGTATATAACCTCTTCTGCATATAGCAGTCTAT